AAGGGTCAATAAGGATCACAGAATTCAATCTTCGGTAAAGCCCTGGTAGTAAAAACGGGGATGAGTCTTCAGGCTTTGAAGCGTACCACTCCTCCCAAAAAGCCTTCTAGCGTGTCGCCAGCGAGGTACTTCGAGGCACGGCGCCATGAACAAGTGAATGTTGGTGGGCTACCGGCGTACCATGTTGAAGTAGACTCCAAAATGGGACCTTTCTTGAACCTTTACACTACAGGCAGGATGTGTATGCGGAATACATTCCCGGTAAAGGCATGCCGAATAGGATATATGTCCATCCTGGGCCACAGGTTGCGGGCATGCCGGATGCGCAACATCGAATACTAGTATGGCAACCCTTCGACGGAAAGGACTTTACCACGGACTTGGTAGTGGGTTCCTTAAATAAGGCAAATAATTTTTTCGCCAAGTCGGGTTTTGCGGAGTGTGCGTGTAGGTTCGCGTGGACGGTCGATCTCAAGGTTTACATTCCGGGGCAACACCTAGACGGGACGGCGCAAATTTGCTATCCTCGGCAGGTGGAAACTTGGTGGTCTGAAATTCAAACCTTGGAGCATGCTATGCAAATGTTGCAGCAGACTTTTAATACCAAGATCTCACCTGCCCAGACTGTGAAGTTTTTCACGGCGCCGAAGGCAAGTCACAGAAGTTGGACGGACCACTTCCTGTATCTGAAGGCCGTAAGTGATGCGTGCGGTGGTGCGGACAGCCCAGTACTTGACAGCAAAATTTACTGTGCGGATCCGCACATGCGTATGACCATGTTGTCCAGGTTGGACATGCATCACATCGATCCCTTAAGCCAGGATAAAGAGCTGGCGCAGTTCACGCAGTCAACTGAAATTGACTCTTATACCAAAAATGTTGGGCGGGATGTAGTTAATGCTGTTGAACAAAGATTGGAACCAATGAAAAAGATCAAGGCGAAGGTGAACACTACTTTTACGAAAGGTGACGAGCGAACGTGCTGTAAGTGTGGCAAAGTCGGGCACATAAGATCAAGGTGCTCTCACTCAAAGAAGAAGATTCCAAAGACTTACTTCACCTTTGCGATTGGTAATGGTCGTGGTCTGCAAGACAAATATTGGATCCTTGACAGTGGTTATAGCAGACAATCAGTCAACAAACTAAGTCTGCTGGTTAATCTGAAAGATTTTCATAGCGAATTATTGACGGCGGCCACCGATGGAGGTGTGCTACGTGTGACGATGAGAGTAAGTGTCGACATTTTAGTTGTTGCATTTGGAGTTGTAAATACAACACGGCTTTTTGATGTTCAGTAAACCTCGAACCTCGAGCGCAATTTCATCTCGTATGTTAAACTCGAGCCGATCGGGTCCGTGCTCGAATATCGAAAAGGGAGGTTTGTTTTGACCTCCGGGTTCTGAGGCGCAATGGATTTCGACGTTGATTGCAGCAACAATGTGCTGGGTAACTTCATCAACGTGATGAGGGTGGTGACAGCACAACCCCAAGCACATCATGGGAGCCGATAATAGCTATAAATAATTCATCTGATCTGATTCGGATGTTCAGAGTGGTACCTTGATGCAATTGTATCGCAGGCTGGGCCATCTAGGTTTTGTTACGATCATTAAGATAGCCTAAGCCCCGGCGTCGGCTATCGATCTGACTGATACGATACGCTCGAATTGCATGACGTGTGCTCAAGAAAAACAAGTCAAGGGAAAGAAGTCGAAGAGAGACATGGGGATAACTCACCTCTCGATGTAATAGGTGGAGTGATATGCTTCTACCTCAAATGTTCGATAACCCCACGTGATCGTCTAAGCGGTCGCTACCTGGTTAAATTTAATGATCGTCGGTCGAACTGTTACCGAGTGTTTTTGGCTAAGTCGAAAGACGTTGCAGCACCAGAATTTCAAACATTTCCTTGTACGATTTGAACGTGAGTTTAATTGCATGATCCACGTGCAACGCACAGACGGTGGAGGCGAATACAAGACTTCGGACTTATTTTGCAAGACTACGGGAGTATCACGTCGAGTGAGTGAAGCTAGAAACCAAGCCAGCAATGGCAAGGCTGAGCAAATGCACTGTACCATCATGAATATGGTACGAAGCATGGTGTTACCATCAAACCTACCGTTGTCTTTCCGGGGCGATGCTGCTGAATACGCAGCTTACATCCTTAACAGTAGTTGAACCAAGTAGAATTCTGGTGGTGTATCACCCATGGAGTTTTTGACAAAGAAGTTACCCATGTTAAACGACATTGAGGTGTTTGGTTCGGCAGGCACGGTTCGTCTTAACGCCAGGAACGAGCCACTTGGCGAGCGCGGGAAAGGCGGCCATAATAATTGGCAAAAGTGACGAGACGATAGAGTACTAGGTGTATATCCTGAAAGAAAAGGTGGTTGTAGAAACGCAACATGTGCGAAACATCGAAGCACCGACGGACACGCATAACGGGAAGCTCAAGTCCAACTTTGAAGAGGCCGACCGTCAGGAGGAGATAAAAACGATGGTCAGCGGGATATTCAGGTGCACCCAAGTGCTAAAAAAAATGAGCCACTAAGAGCCTTATAGGCGAAAGGTCCGGATGGACAAGAGAGCGACATGGTTCAAGGTCGACCAGCAAGAAGCAGGATAGCAGACCTTCGACTGCAATTCATGCTGAGTCATCTGGTGTGGTGAATGCAGTAATAGTACAAGACCCCAAGCTCTATGAGGAGGCAGTCAAGAGCGACGATCGAGAGCAGTAGAAAATCGCCATAACCAAAGAACTGGTAGCTCTAAAATCGAACGACGTTCGATAGATTGTGGTGCCACCTAAAGGTGCGCACGTCCTGCACAACAAGTGGATGTACAAGACAAGACCGATGCGAACAGTGACATTGAGCGGTACAAAGCTCGTCTGGTTGTTTACGGAAACGAACAAGTCTTTGTAGTGATATATACTCTTACGCTCGCGGCCTTCATGGACTTGGGAACAGTGAAGTCGATCCCGGTGCTCTCTAGACGATGGAATGTACCGGCACGCCATGGTGACGTACCTAATGCGTATGTCAAAGCGAAAAAAGAGGAGCATTTGGATATCTACTTGAAGGTGCCAAAAGGAACGACTCTAGAAGCAAAAGAGCTGAAAATCATGGGGGCAAGGTCACCAAGTTATACGGTACTACTGTTGAAAAAAATCACTTTATGGACTAAAGCAGGCTGGGTGGCTATAAAACAAACTACTTGATTCTAAGCTGCGACAAGGTGATTTCAGCAATGCACGACGGGCATGTGCATGTACTACAAGTTCAAAGGCCACACGTGTACAGTGGTCGGTGTCTATGTGGATGACCAATTTGTCACAGGCACCGATCAAAGCGCTGTGGACGAGTTTTTTTAGCTGATCTTAGTTGCGTGTCGATCAAGAACCTCGGGATCGTGAGCATGCTTATCGGATTACGAATTCAGCTGGACAACTCAAATAATGGAATTTAACTCAAATAATGGAGCTGTAACGTATCCAAATAATGAATACGTTCTCGATCAAAAAGTCACAATCGACCTGTTACTTAAAGAGTTTGGGATGGAGTCAGCAAAAGGAGTGCGGACCTCCATTGGAGAAGAGTGCAATGCGAATGATGGGAGCAATCTAGACTATCTACCTGCGAGAAGCGCAAGGGGTGAACCAAGCGTGAAGTCTTTTCAGTCTCTTGTGGAAAGTTTGCTTGGATCGCAAGATGTACACATCCAGACATATGCTTTGCAGCGCACAAGGCCACGAGGCAGACGCACGAGCCTACTTGCGAGAACTGGAAGACGGCCAAGGGTATCGTTAGATACTTGAAGATGTCGAAGGACACTACATTACAACTAAACGGTGTTGGACCAACAGCGGAGGACGTGCGGATCGAGTGTTATGGAGATGCGGATTTTGCTCCCGACAAGGCTGACCGTAAGTACGTGTCAAGGTGTGTACTGATTGTGGATGGTAATGCTGTGCTATGGTTGTGAAAGAAGAAATCAGGGGTGTTGCTGAGTACAATGGAGGCTGACTTCATCTCAGAGTCGCGGGCCAGAAGAGAGCTACTAGACACGAAAGAGTTGCTAAACGAACGTCAGTTGTATGTGCGCACGCCCAGGCTGATGTGGATCGACAATCAAGCAGCTATGAATCAGCTCAAGTCGGAAAAGAGTAAGTCAAGCGCCAAGCACGTGTATATCAGGTTCAAGTCTATCTGCCATTTTGTGCAAGCGAGAATTGTGGTACCGAGATCCGTCAAGTCACAGAACATGACGGCGGACATGCTGACGAAAGCGCTACCTGCGCCAAGAATGGAAAATATGCGAACTATGTCCAAGCTAAAGGTCACACAGAATGACACCCAGGAGGAGTGTTGGAAACTATCATGCAGCCGTTTCACGGTTTAAGGGATTTGCCATGTGACGGTGTTGAGAATACGCCGCTTCGTGCAGTCGTTTCATGTTGGGTTCATGGTGATGATTTCTGTGTCAGGGTGTTTCATGGTGGTTAATACGGAAGAAGGTTATGGATCGCGGTTACATGATGAGATCACAGGATGTCGTTACATTAAGGCTTAGACTTAGCTAAGGGTAGTGAACTAAGTACCTTAAATATATTCACTTCGGCTTTTACATCCAACTACCCCAACAGGTTAACAGCCGCAACTCGGACAGCGGCGTCAAGACCAAGAACGCCTCGCCTCGCACATGATGAGTACCAAGCGCGCCGAAGTCCTCCTAGGAAGTGGAAATTATTTCCATTGGGAGTTCAATATAAGGATGTCGCTCGCCAGAAAAGGTCTGCTGGCGCACGTGGAGGTGGTCAAGGAGGAGAGCGAGATAACTGAAGTTTTATAGTAAACGACGCGAAGGTACTCGGCTTCATATCGCAGGGTGTGGAGCCACAACAACAGACAAAGATACGCTCATCTACGCGTGCGATTCAAGCGTGGGAAATACTTAGGGAGTTCTACAATCGAACTACACTACACAATCGGGTCACGATGACACGGCGCCTCCACGAGTTCAAGATGGATACTGGAACGGCCATGGCAAAGCATTTGGACGCTTTTGACGAGCTCGTTGTCGGTCTTCAGACGCTTGGAGAGCCTGTCGACGAGGCACGGCAGCTGGTAGTGCTACTGAGCAGCCTTCCAGCCGAATACGAGCTGATATCATCTATCATCGAAAACTTCAAGGACATCATGCTCATCGAGGTGAAAGAGAAGCTGTTGAAGGAGTGTGAACGGTTGGAGAGAAAAGACACGACTCCAGAACGAGCGTTCAAGGTTAACACTGGACGATTCAAGGGCAACAAGGGGAACGGTCGCAAGTGGAGCGATCAGAAGAAAAACGCTAATGGTTTCCAAGGCAAGTGTTTCAAGTGCAACAAAGTTGGGCACATGAAGCGGGACTGTCAAGAACGGACAATAGATGGCGATGACGATGCGGTATTTGCTGTAAGCACAGAACGTGTAAACGGATGGTTGATCGACAGCGGTGCGACCGCACACATGACCCCGCACCGTTCTGATCTGTTCGAGTATGAGAACGTGAATAGTGGCATCGAAGTAACAATCGCTGACGGAAAGAAGCTGTAGGTCACTGGCTGTGGTACGGTACGCTTGATTGGACTGGACTGTAAACGGATTATGATGGTTGAAGTTCTTCACATCCCGGGCTTTGATCGGCGTCTATTGTCAGTGGGAAAGCTCGCTGAACGTGGAGTTTTAGCGATCCTCATGTGTTATATGGGGCACGGCTAGCGCAATTGAGAAGGGTAAGAAGGTCGGCAAGGCTTACATGTTAGACTGTGAACAAGAAGGAGCTCGATTCATTCAGTACGCCGAGGCTGGCAGCAAGTGGGAGCTTTGGCACGCTCGCATGGGACATCTCAACCAAGACGCTCTGATTAAGACACGTCATGCCACGAACGGTATTCCGGCTATTGATCAACCGACCCTGTCTTTATGTGGCGGTTGCATGAAAGGAAAGCAGACGGTGGCTACATTTCCTCATTGTTCGAGCTCGAAAACGTCGCGCGTTCTTGAGCTCGTCCACACGGATGTGATGGGCCACATGAAGTATCCATCTAAAGGCGGTGAAAATTGTGTCCTGACGTTTGTAGACGACTACTCGCGCTATGTTGTGGCCTATTTCTTTAAGAAGAAGATCATGGTGGCCACTAAGGTATGAGAGTTCAAGACGTTCCATGAAAAGCAATGGGGAGAAAGCATCAAGTGTTTACGACCGGATAATCGAACAGAGTTTGTGAATCAATAGGTGACGAATATGTGTAAGCTGAATGGTTTTGTGCATCAACAGACTGTACCGTTTAGCCTTCAGCAGAATGGAGCGGCGGAACGGATGAACCTTACTTTCATGGAGAATCTCAAAGTATGTTACACTACAAGGGAGTTTCAATGGTGTGGTGGGCTGAAGCAGTCAATACTGCGGTATATCTGATCAACCGTTTCACGAACACGCAAAACGCAACTGTGGTTTTTAAAGTAAAGCCTACATTAGACTACTTATGCGTATTTAATTTTCGCGGCTACGCCCGTATAGACAAGGCAAGAGGACGAAACTTGAACCTAAGAGCTTTAGGTGTCTGCTGCTTGGATGCACAGAAAACTTTAAGGGTTACCGTGTCTATGACTTGGACGCTTTCAATATCAAAGTGTGTCGCTCAGTAAAGCTGGACAAGCGTGAGGTAGATGGTATTTACGATACACTGCCTGCTCAGATCGAAACAGTTATTCATGTTAGCACAGACGCCGATGATGAAGTCACGCTCGCACCATTGGAACGTCAACCCGTCGAAGCGGAACCCATGGAAGGCGTTGAGAACGACGCACCAGATGTAGAGATGGAGAGCATGCAACCGGAACAGGATGCTATACCTTCGCTGCTGATGCCGCAAGGACAATCGGCTCCGACTGGATTTGAGCTGGAACCGTACCGTAAACCACCTACTAGCTTTGAGGAAGATCAAGTGGTGTTCCATACCCCTAGAGACCGTTTTAGAAGTTCCCGGGAACCAGTCTTCCTTCTTGAAAATGGGACGGACGACGAGGAAGAACGGAAATCGGAAGGAAGTGATGGACCGTCCTCTCCAAAGCGTGTCAGGATCGATGAAGAGGCCTTATTGGTGAAGCTGTTCATGCGTACGCGGCAAGCATTGACACAGTGGATCTTCCTACAACATACGCTCAGGCAATTGCCAGTGAAGATTCAACACAGTGGCGTGAAGCCATGGATGCTGAACTGCTCTCTCATAAACGGAACGATACCTGGACATTAGTTCCACGAGGAACGGCCATCCGTACCATTGGGTGCAGATGGGTGTTCGCCAAGAAGCGTGACCAGAACGGTCGCGTGGTGCGCTTCAAATCGCGGTTGGTGGCGAAGGGTTTCAAGCAGAAGTACGGAGTGGATTGTTTTGAAACGTACTCTCCTGTGGCGAACATGAACTCGATTCGAGTTGTGCTCTCCGTCTGCGCTGCTTTCGCGTACCAGATGGAACAGTTGGAAGCTGACACAGCGTTCCTCAACAGTGAGTTGGAGGACCGTGTCTACATGGAGGTACCTATAGGAGTTGAGAACATCCAGGACTATGTGTGCAGCTGAACAAGGCCATTTATGGATTGAAGCAAGCTGCAAGTGCCTGGAACAAGACCATTAATCGTGTATTTCTCGACTGCGGTTTCAAAAGCTGTGGTGCGGACCAATGCGTCTATTTCAAGCGCTCCAAGAACAATTTTATTTACGTCTGCCTTTACGTCGATGATATGATCATTGCGGCAAAGACTAGTGATGAAATTAGTGACGTGAAGGACGCACTCAAGAGTGTCTTTAAGATGAAGAAGCTTGGACCGGCGAAGTTTATTCTGGGAATGGAGATCGACCATGACATGACTGCTGGAACGCTTATGATCAAGCAAACGCGATACATCGATGATGTGGCAAACCGGTTTGGGCAAGAAAACGCTAGGACGGTGGACAACCCGTGTGCAACCGGTCTAAAGTTGCCAAAGTCGCAATCGCCAGCATCGGATGCAGAACGAAGCAAGATGCAATTAAGATCTAACCATTCCTTGATTGGATGCCTGCTGTACATCACGACGTGTACTCGCCCGGACATTGCATTCGTAGTAACGCAACTTTCTCGTTTTCTCGATAATCCTGAGCAGCAGTATTGGAGTGCTGCTATACGTGTTCTACGCTTCTTAAAGACGACCCACCAGCACGTGATCATCTACAAAGGTGGTACTAGCAGCGTCACAGCTGAAGCCTACTCGGATGTGGACTGGGGATCTAATCTCGACGATAGGCGTTCTGTCTCGGGTGTTATGATCATGATTGGGAACGCTTCCGTGGTGTTCAAGTCTAAGTTCAACGAACGGTTGCCCTCAGCTCAGCGGAAGCTGAGTATATGGCCCTAAGCCTATGCGTGCAAGAAGTACTGTGGACGCGTGTGATGCTGACGGACATGGGAGTGGTACAAAGAAACGCTACTAAGATCTGGGAGGACAATCAAGGCGCAATTGCTTTGGCTCAGAAAACTGGTTATCATGCTCGGACCAAGCATGTGGACATCCGTCATCACTTCATCAGAAAGACGATCGAAGCCGGAACAGTTGCGCTAGCGTATGTGGACACCAAACATCAGTTGGCCGACGTACTGACCAAGGCTTTAGGATCCAAGACGTTCAAGTTCCTGCGCGATGCGAATGGTATCCAGTGCAAGATTACCAAGCAGTAGCGGTGAGTGGGAGTGTTGATAATACGCCGCTTCGTGCAGTCGTTTCATGTTGGGTTCATGGTGATGATTTCTGTGTCAGGGTGTTTCATGGTGGTTATTACGGAAGAAGGTTATGGATCGCGGTTACATGATGAGATCACAGGATGTCGTTACATTAAGGCTTAGACTTAGCTAAGGGTAGTGAACTAAGGACCTTAAATATATTCACTTCGGCTTTTACATCCAACTACCCCAACAGACGGTCTTATTGATGGCCTGGTGGTCAGACCAGGTGAAATGTGGGACCACGAGGAGACTATCAGACAGATGGGACAGGTAAAGACAGGGCGATGACTTGAAAGATGGGACAGCGAGCTGACAACATGACGGTTAGGACAAGACGATGCGTTTGCAATGTGTGACTGGTGTACGAGAAAGGGAGGAAAGACGGATACCATCAGGCAGGTACATGGTCAAGTTGCAGTTCCGTTGCGGTGCATGTTGTAGTATTGACATATATGATGGTTTGTGCTAAACCTATTTTGCTTTTACTTCTATCTACCTTTGCACAAGTGCAAACCCAAGCATCATGAATTTACAGAAGTAGAATTTGTTAGGTAAACAGTCAATAGATAGCGTATTATCGTACTGAAGACATTACCGTGTGTTTTATGCACTGATCAATGGTTAAGCTGTGCTGACGTGTGCACATGCATCAACATTTAAGTTGTTCGGTTGCAAAGCTGTGCAAGAGCGCATATGTAAGAGACGTGCTGATGTCTATACTGGTGCATCATGATGTAAAAGTCTGTCAAAATCTGCAGAAAGGGTTGCTTATGCACTTTCACAGGAGGCTAGCGTACCTAAGATTTGTCACAATCCTGAAGATGGCCGAGGACCCAGCGCCTGGAATCCAACGCACCGAAAAGCTACGTGTCGCTTGCTTGGTTGCGCTCAAGGGAAGCAGACAACAAATTAGTAATCGCGGAAGGATACTGGACGAAACTTGCCCACTGACGTGATCGGGAGTCATATGCTTTAATCTGAAAGGAACGATGACTCCTCGTGAATGGTTTGGAAACCGCTATCTGGTTAGCTATATCGATCACCGGACGAACTACTGTCGCGTGTTCTTAGCGCAGTCCAAGGATTTGCAGCCCAAAAGTCAAGCAATCTATGGTCTTCTTTGAGCGACAGTTCGACTGCCGTTTTCACAAATTGAGGTAGGATGGTGAAGATGAATGTAGGACGTTAGGCTTGTCGTGCGAGGATACCGGTGCTGCGCGACAAACAATTGAGTCGCGTAACCAAGCGATCAACAGAAAGGCGAAGAGAATCCAATTTACTATTATAAATATGATGCGGAGCATGGCATTTGCTTATGGGCTACCGTTTAGTCTCTGGGGAGAAGCTGCAGAATATGCCGCCTAAATTTTTAATCGGATTCCAAGCGATGCGAGCTGAGGGGGGGCAGTCAGCAATGAAGATTCGTCCAGAGGATCCCGAATCTGCGCGACATGGTGGCATTTAACTCTCCATGCACGGTGCATCGGCGGGACGCGCGGACAAGTCGCTGGGTGAGCGCGGAAAACTTGGGCTCATAATAAGTAGAAGTGATGAAATGAAAGGGTACAGGTTCTTCTTTTCTTAAGATAATACCTTCATCGCCACGCCGTATTTTCATATTGTGGAGACAGTGATTAAGGAGCAGAATGCGCAATTACGTCGTGAGCTTCTTGTGAAAAATGAGTTGGCAGTCGAGGGGTGTGACAGTGATTTGTTAGGAGAGACTCCGTAGCCGGTTTCTGGACGGGAGCTTAAACTTCGAGGACGTGGGAGTAAATGGACGCGCAAAGATTACATGACCAGGACAGCAGCGCAAGTGCGCTTAAAAACGCTGAAGAGAATGGGGCAGAGCAATTTTGTGACGTGGCAGACGGCGTGCGGGAAAGTGGACCCAAAATAATTATTGGCAGGCCATGAAGTGTGACCAAAAGGACAAGTGGATGGTTGCGGTGGTAGAAGAGCTGCAACTAACTGAGAACAATGGAGTATGGATGGCCTTGTTGCCTCCAAACAATATTACGAAGCTACACACGAAATGGTTATACATGACCAATACTGACGCTGATGGGAAGATCGATTGTTTAAAGTCGAGACTAGTTGCGCTTGGCAATATGCAGACATTTGGTGTGAACCATGGTCTTGAATTTTCTGACGTCATCGACATAAGCACGGTGAGGATAATTTTGGTGTTGTGATGCGCTGAGGAGTGTCTGCAAGACACAGGATATCCCTAATGCGTAAGTAAAGACCGATAAAGAAGAACATCTGCAAGTTTTGTTGGAGATTCCACATGTTATGGATATTGCGAATTGCACTCTACAGGATTTTGGCACAAAGGACAAGTAAAATCTGGCGCTGAGATTGAAGAAATTCTTGTATGGACTCAGACAGGCGGACCGATTGAGCGAGCCAATACAATAAAGCTGGAAAAGGCGGGGTTCACGCGATGAAATACCGAGACGTGCCTATTTTTATTTGCCAAAACGGCATTATAAATGTGTACGAGTTACTCGCCACTGCGGCTAGCCAAAATTCAGTGAAATTGTTCTTTAAGGCGATAAATTTTTGTCGATAATTACTTGGCTGAAGCTCGCAAACTTCTTGGGTTTCGCGCTGATTTTGGTAGCCTGAATGCGTACTCGTTGGGCTACCCGGTGCCAATCGAATAGGTGCGTCAACATCATGTAATTTCATAAGCAAATGGTTTTTGCACGCCTATTGTCGAAGAGGCGAATGAATTGGAGAAGGACTCTGCGTATCTGACAACTTGGGCAGGACGAGCTGACGAACTGAAATTTCGCAACTTTATTTGCTCGCGTGAAGCTCACTTTGGATTGATCGAGGCATGCGTTTTGAAATTAGCTTTGTCGTTCACAAGGACACACGATGCACACATCGACCAACCATGATATTCACTGAATATCTGAAGGAGACCAAGGGTATGAATCGAGTATTGAGTATTTCAAGAAACGATGAAGACAAGATTTAATTGGCGAGTTGGAGTGACTCGAATTATGCAGCTGAAAGAGTTTACCGCAAGTCTGCGACAGGAGGGGTTCTAATGTAGGACGATGCTATTGTACGATGGGTGTGCAAAAGTCAAATAGAGGTGTCACTTTTGACTATGAATCTTGAGTTTGCGTCGGCCTTTCACATTGGGTGGGAATCACCGGTCTTAAGAGAGCTGGAAGGCGAGATCAGTTATCAAGTGAAAAATTTAATGTCGATGCTGATGGACAATCCGGATGCAATCAAGCAACTAGAGTTCGAGGGCATCAAGTAGAACGTCAAGCACATCGATGTGCGTATAAAATTATATGTGATCATGCGCGGACGGGCAGTGTTAAACCTGAGTTGTAGAGTCGTGTCTTATGAAGGCGGACCTACTGACAGAAGTATTGACGGTGTCAAGATTGGAAGAACTTCGAGATCTGTTGAATTATCCGTTGACGAAGATAGCATGGAGGAGAGCGTGCGACGGCTGAGGAGGAATATTGGAGGAATTGCAAGAGATTGTGATATCGGCCAAACACACTCGAACGATAGGAACACTAGTGGTGAATTCTGGGCTTGTTAGTTTAGTTGGTTGACAGAGAAAATAGAACTTGACAGGAAAAAGCTCAATCAACATTATTTTAACAATTTCACGTCATCCTCCAGATCTTACACGATCTAACACTTTCCGATCTGGCGACGACGTCGGGCTCACTTGATCCACTACCATTACCTGTACACTCTAAGGTTCTGGCGACGTTTAGCTGCCTTAACCAATTCTTTAAAAACTGCTACCCAGGGGTAGTATTGTCAATGTCATGCAGTTCAAGAGCGTTGCAGCATTAGTAACTGCCGATAAAATAGAATTTTTTGTCCTTCGGGTGCATTTTAGTGCTTTTTGTTCTCAAATGCCCTGAAGCAACTTACAATTTGTCTTTATCGTGCATGTGTGCATATGTATGATGCTGCTGTCTTTGTCTATGCGTCACTTTTCTGTTCTTGTTAAGTTGCGTAATTCCGGAAAGGTCACGATTACCGAATAATCTGTTGCAGCTTTTTATGGTGCCATTTCAGACCCGTATCCATGGCAGGATGACTGATAACTGGAAAAAGGCGCTCCTTACTATGAACTCGTTAGTTTTACTCTGGATCAGGAATAACTTCAAGTTTATTCTACCTGTATACGAGGTATAGAGACGAGTTTTCAATGCTTTATGAGTAATGGGTAGATTGTTTGGGTAACGTTTTACGGCGAAAGTTCTGATCTTGCAGCCCTGACATCTTGAGCTGAGTCTTTGAACTAGTCGTTAATAATTATATTTTTATTAAAATTGTCTGGACGGCAAAACTAATGAGTCTAACGCCAAGTACATGCAAAATTGTAGAACCCGCACACGCTCGAACTTTAAGCACGCACAAAACTTGTTGCGGTAGTTTTTTGCTACAATTTGTTGTGACTGACTTATACGAATGCCGAATTCTTTCTATAATATGTGGAAGAACGATGGCTAACGTTTTTGTGAGTCATTATTTACCCTTCTTCGAAATAGTATATATTACCAAAGAGGTGAATGGAAACAATCAGGTCTGTAAGACCTGCTGTTGTCTGCCCAAATTCCAATCTGCATGATCTGGGCGGGGGTATAAACAGGCACGAGCTGGCGCCAGCCAGTATCAATCAAACAACGGCCACCGAGCCATCACCACGCCCCTTGCTCGGTGGAGAAGGGAGGGGACAGCCTCCTTCAGCAGCATCGAGGGGTTGCCGTGTCCAGGAGGCACTGGCGTTAGATCCTGCCGTACATCACACGATACAGAGAACCCACCGTAGCCGTCCGGTCGCCTCACGGATCCCATAACCTGGGAAGAAGATGACGGCGGCAACAACCCCAGCCCTTTGGAGAGCGTCACGTTTCGGGATCCGGGTTGGCCAGCGGGGCAGGCGACGTTCGCCTCCCGTCTTCAGTCGTATCGGATGTAAATTTGCCTATCCTCGGTGATGCGCCACCCCAGGAGGGCACGGCACATTCACCGGTCCCTGGTGACCAGGTGCGTTTGAGCGCGAGGGCGTCCACACGAATTCATCGCTTCAGAAGGACCCTATTGAGACGTTTGAGGCCCTAAACGAGTCGATGAGGACATCTGCCGTACCTGGTAACTTAGAAATATGGCGCCAGACCATCTAAAAGCTGTTAAAAGCTGCATACTCTCGAATTCCTGTTCACTTGGAGGCCCTCCCAGAGGAGCGTAAATGCTTCCCGAAGCTCATGGGCTGCAATCATGACAGCTTGCTTAACCTTTTTCGCTAGTGGCTTGTTGTTAAGTCTGGTACGTTTACTGGTTGGAAACGACTCGCCATAAGATTGGTAAGGACATATTGCTCACACAGCGGGCCGTTTAAGAGATCACCACGAAAGTTGCCAGTCTACACAAGTGGGCTACGGCGTCGATTTCCAACCAGTGGGCATGAGTAGTGCGCCGAGGGGTGGCAAACGTCACGGAAGGCTTGGCCGGGTCTACTACTCTGGTTTTTAAGGGGTTTATGTTTGACCCAGCCAATTTTTTTGGCGGAAGCGGCAACTAGACGCAGGGAGTTATTTAACGCACCGCTCGGATCCGTCCACGTCCACGGATTACGGGAGAGAACGGATGACAAATGAAGAATCATCGTAAGCATAGTAGAAGGGCACTTTGGGTGTCGCCGGATGCCGGACTTTCTACGATCCGTCCTGGACAGTGGGGAGCGTCTTCGGCTATACAGCACCATCCACGCTTAAAGTTGAAGGGCCACTCGTCCTCACCCTCGGCAGAGGGCGTCCCATTCTGATTGGCCAGCAGACCTTTAATGAAATTACGGAAATGATTCGGGAATCATCGAAGCTGCTGGTATGCCTGTCAGAGTTTCATCTCTTACTTAATATTACAAAAGGTATCAGCTACACCCGCTCGTCCTGGACAATACATTATCATTTTTACTCAAGAACGGAACCACGCAAGGCTCAGGTTTTTCGCACTCCTTTTAAAAGACGTGTGTACACTCTCGAGAATGTACACGATCCGGGCTGGAATCCGTGTGGCTAAATCAATGGAGACCTGACGGTCGTTCGAAACTCCCGCACACAATACTCTATATTTCTCTGTAAATGTGACACGGCACAATGATATTGGGCGCATCGCAGCTTATATCCACTCCACCACTCCCACCGCTTTTGAGCTAAAGAATATGGATACGTGCACTCCCACCTCCTGGACGTCAACGTTTTAAAAGGTCACCTTTCCTGGCGGGGTACCCCACTTTTCTACAAGGGATTTAGCGACTTCTTTGGCTCGGACTCTGATCATATCAAGCACCCGGACTTTGGTCGACGTTTACAATGTTTACTGTGTGGTAACTTAGGTCGCCCTGCGGCACGGTGTCAGTTTACAGATGCGCTACTACAGGGTCCGGGCGGAATAGATGTTAAAGAGGAGGGGATTGTCGAAGACCCGGCATAACCATCTAGCGGTCGGGGGGAAGTTTTGGAGGCTTCGACTACAACTGTCTGCGGAAGCGGCAGCTCAAGCAGCGGTGACTCCAGCCGTGTCGGACGTACCGCCCTGGAGTCCACCGGTGCCTGTGTTTGAGCCGATTGGGATACGTTTACAGCCGGTACACTGCTGAAACTCCGCACGTGTAGCTTCCCTTTTCCGCCCCAAAAAAACCGACCCGCGCAACCTCGGCTAACACGAAGTCTACGAGGGGGGGCGTCTGGGGTTCTCGTTTAAGTCGCTCGTAGCAAATACAGGCCCCACATCCGGCAAGTTTCATGTATTGCAGAATATGGAGGACTATAGTGAGAATGCGGCTCATGATCCGTTTACCGAGCATGCCATTGGCAAACTCTTCAGAAAGGACTGACCTATCTCTGATTTAAACCCTAGAAGATTCTGCCGATCCTCATAAATTGCCTGATGCTCGGACCCGATACCGGAAGGCCACCACAGAGGTAAAGCGTCCGTCCTTTCCAGGCCAACGCTTTCAGCCAAACAGCGTCGGGAATGTAACTCCGGCGCGTGGTTGGTAAGACGTTTCCCGACCGAGCGTCGCACTGCGGTCCCGATGGAGCCTCGTCCTAAATACAAATTCCTTCCTGAGACAGACTTGTCTCAAAGTTTAGGTGTAAGAGAAGCGCTTACACCCGCAACGAGCAATTTTTGGCCATACCGGTGGCTCAATCTATTGCTGAATCTGCCTTACATGTGCCAACAAAGTATATAATGGAGCTCCTAGCGGCTAGTTTTATACGGGGCGTCAAATTATCTAGGCTGATTAATTTGGAGGATCATACGTCACATGATTTGCGGGTCACTGCGCTGATAATTATAGGTCAAGGATGGTCAAAGAAGACCAGAGGGGATTCGGCAGCTCAATTTAAGCGTTTTTTACTTGATTATGCGTATACTTGTTGAGAATACGCCGCTTCGTGCAGTCGTTTCATGTTGGGTTCATGGTGATGATTTCTGTGTCAGGGTGTTTCATGGTGGTTATTACGGAAGAAGGTTATGGATCGCGGTTACATGATGAGATCACAGGATGTCGTTACATTAAGGCTTAGACTTAGCTAAGGGTAGTGAACTAAGGACCTTAAATATATTCACTTCGGCTTTTACATCCAACTACCCCAACAGGTTAACAGCCGCAACTCGGACAGCGGCGTCAAGACCAAGAACGCCTCGCCTCGCACGAAACGCACACGATGAATGTCAAGCGCGCCGAATTCCTCCTGGGAAGTGGAAATTATTTCCACTGGGAGTTTAATATGAGGATGACGCTCGCCAGGAAAGGGCTGCTGGTGCATGTGGAGGTGGTCAAGGAGGAGAGCGACATAATAAAGCTTGGCTAGTGAACGACGCGAAGGCTCTCGGCATCATCGCGCAGGGTGTGGAGCTACAACACCAAACAAAGAAAAGTTCATCTACGCGTGCGATTCAAGCGTGGGTAACGCTTAGGGAGTTCTACAATCGAACTACACTACACAATCGGGTCATGATGACACGGCGCCTCCACGAGTTCAAGATGGATACTGGAACGGCCATGGCAAAGCATTTGGACGCCTTCGACGAGCTCGTTGTCGGTCTTCAGACGCTTGGAAAGCCTGTCGACGAGGCACGGCAGCTGGTAGTGCTACTGACCAGCCTTCCAGCCGAATACGAGCTGATACCATCTACCATCGAAAACTTCAAGGACATCATGCTCATCGAGGTGAAGAGAAGCTGTTAAAGGAGTGTGAACGGTTGGAGAGAAAAAACACGACTCCAGAACGAGCGTTCAAGGTTAGCACTGGACGATTCGAGGGCAACAAGGGGAACGGTCGCAAGTGGATCGATCAGAAGAAAAACGCTAATGGTTTCGAGGCAAGTGTTTTAAGTGCAACAAAGTTGGGCACATGAAGCGGGACTGTCAAGAACGGACAATAGATGGCGATGAAGATGCGGTATTTGCTGTAAGCACAGAACGTGTAAACGGATGGTTGATCGACAGCGGTGCGACCGCACACATGATCCCGCACCGTTCTGATCTGTTCGAGTATGAGAACGTGAACAGTGGCATCGAGGTAACAATTGATGACGGAAAGAAGCTGTAGGTCACTGGCTGTGGTACGGTACGCTTGATTGGACTGGACTGTAAACGGATTATGATGGTTGAAGTTCTTCACATCCCGGGCTTTGATCGGCGTCTATTGTCAGTGGGAAAGCTCGCTGAACGTGGAGTTTTAGCGATCCTCATGTGTTATATGGGGCACGGCTAGCGCAATTGCAAAGGGTAAGAAGGTGGGCAAGGCGTACATATTTAAATGTGAACAAGAAGGAGCTCGATTCATTCAGTACGCCGAGGCTGGCAGCAAGTGGGAGCTTTGGCACGCTCGCATGGGACATCTCAACCAAGACGCTCTGATTAAGACACGTCATGCCACGAACGGTATTCCGGCTATTGATCAACCGACCCTGTCTTTATGTGGCGGTTGCATGAAAGGAAAGCAGACGGTGGCTACATTTCCTCATTGTTCGAGCTCGAAAACGTCGCGCGTTCTTGAGCTCGTCCACACGGATGTGATGGGGCCCATGACGAATCCATCCAAAGGCGGTGCAAATTATGTCCTAACGTTTGTGGACGACTACGCGCGCTACGTTGTGACCTATTTCTTGAAGAAGAAGAGCGAGGTGGCCATCAAGCTAAGCGAGTTCATGAATTTCTATGAGAATCAATGGGGAGAGCGCATGAAGTGTTTACGACCGGATAATCGAACAGAGTTTGTGAATCAATAGGTGACGAATATGTGTAAGCTGAATGGTTTTGTGCATCAACAGACTGTACCGTTTAGCCTTCAGCAGAATGGAGCGGCGGAACGGATGAACCTTACTTTCATGGAGAAATCTCGAAGAATGCTACACGACAAGTACATTCAAATGGAACGGTCGTATGAAGCAGTCAATACTGCGGTAGATCTGATCAACCGTTCCACGAACACGCAAAACGTAACTGCAACACTTTTTGAGCTGGGTTTCAAAGTGAAACCTACGCTAGATCACCTACGCGTATTTGGTTCTCGCGGCTACGCCCATATAGACAAGGCAAAGAGGACGAAGCTTGAACCTAAGAGCTTTAGGTGTCTGCTGCTTGGATACACAGAAAACGTCAAGGGTTACCGTGTCTATGACTTGGACGCTTCCAAGATCAAAGTGTGTCGCTCAGTAAAGCTGGACGAGCGTGAGGTGGGTGGTATTTACGATACACTACCTGCTCAGATCGAAACAGTTATTCATGTTAGCACAGACGCCGATGATGAAGTCACGCTCGCACCAGTGGAACTTCAACCCGTCGAAGCGGAACCCATGGAAGGCGTTGAGAACGACGCACCGGATGTAGAGATGGAGAGCATGCAACCGATACAGGACGCTATACCGCCGCTGCTGATGCCACAAGAACGGTCAGCTTCCACTGGATTTGAGTTGGAACCGTACCGTGGACCACCGACTATCTTCGAGGACGATCAAGTGGTGTTCCATACCCCTAGAGACCGTTTTAGAAGTTCCCGGGAACCAGTCTTCCTTCTTGAAGAGGGAACGGACGCAGAGGAAGAACGGAAGTCGGAAGGAAGAGATGGACCGTCCTATCCGAAGCGTGCCAGGATCGATGAAGACGGCCTTATTGCTGAAGCCGTCCTCGCGTACACAGCAAGCATTGACGCAGTGGATCTTCCTACAACGTACGCTCAGGCAATCGACAGTGAAGATGCTACGCAGTGTCGTGAAGCCATGGAGGCTGAACTGCTCTCACATAAACGGAACAATACCTAGTCATTGGTTCCAAGAAAAACAGCCATCCGTACCATTGGATGCAGGTGGGTTATCGCCAAGAAGCGTGACTAGAACGGTCGCGTGGTGCGATTCAAAGCGCGATTGGTGGCGAAAGATTTCAAGCAGAAATACGAAGTGGACTTCTTTAAAACGTACTTTCCAGTGGCAAGCATGAACTCGATTCGAGTTGTGCTCTCCGTCTGCGCTGCTTACGCATACGAGATGGAACAGTTGGACGCTGATACAGCGTTTCTTAACAGTGAGTTGGAGGACCGTGTCTACATGGAGGTACCTATAGGAGTTGAGAACATCCAGGACTATGTGTGCAGCTGAACAAGGCCATTTATGGATTGAAGCAAGCTGCAAGTGCCTGGAACAAAACCATTCATCGGGTATTTCTTGGGTACGGATTCAAAAGCTGTGGTGCGGACCAATGCGTCTATTTCAAGCGCTCCAAGAACAATTTTATTTACGTCTGCCTTTACGTCGATGATATGATCATTGCGGCAAAGACTAGTGATGAAATTAGTGACGTGAAGGACGCACTCAAAAATGCCTTCAAGATGAAGGAGCTTGGACCGGCGAAGTTTATTCTGGGAATGGAGATCGACCATGACATGACTTCTGGAACGCTTATGATCAATCAAACGCGATACATCGATGATGTGGCGAACCGGTTCTGGGCAAGAAAACGCTAAGTCAATTGACAACCCGTGTGCAACCGGTCTAAAGTTGTCAAAGTCGCAATCGCCAGCATCGGATGCAGAACGAAGCAAGATGCAATCAAGACCTTACCGTTCCTTAATTGGATGCCTGCTGTACATCACGACGTGTACTCGCCCGGACATTGCATTCGTAGTAACGCAACTTTCTCGTTTTCTCGATAATCCTGGGCAGCAGCATTGGAGCGCTGCTATACGTGTTCTACGCTACTTAAAGACGACCCACCAGCACGGGATCATCTACAAAGGTGGTACTAGCAGCGTCACAGCTGAAGCCTACTCGGATGCGGAATGGGGATCTAATCTCGACGACAGGCGTTCTGTCTCGGGGGGTTATGATCATGATTGGGAACGCTCCGGTGATGTTCAAATCTAAGTTTCAACGAACAATTGCCCTCAGCTCAGCGGAAGCTGAGTATATGGCTCTAAGCCTATGCGTTCAGGAAGTACTGTGGACGCGTGTGATGCTGACGGACATGGGAGTGGTACAAAGAAACGCTACTAAGATCTGGGAGGACAATCAAGGCGCAATTGCTTTGGCTCAGAAAACTGGTTATCATGCTCGGACCAAGCATGTGGACATCCGTCATCACTTCATCAGAAAGACGATCGAAGCCGGAACAGTTGCGCTAGCGTATGTGGAAACCAAACATCAATTGGCCGACGTACTGACCAAGGCGCTAGGATCCAAGACGTTCAAGTTCCTGCGCGATGCAAACAGTATCCAGTGCAAAGAAACCAAGCAGTAGCGGCGAGTGGGAGTGTTGAGAATACGCCGCTTCGTGCAGTCGTTTCATGTTGGGTTCATGGTGATGATTTCTGTGTCAGGGTGTTTCATGGTGGTTATTACGGAAGAAGGTTATGGATCGCGGTTACATGATGAGATCACAGGATGTCGTTACATTAAGGCTTAGACTTAGCTAAGGGTAGTGAACTAAGGACCTTAAATATATTCACTTCGGCTTTTACATCCAACTACCCCAACAATACTCCCCCGGTCCGAGACACCACTATCCTGACGGATTAATGGGGTGGGATTACTTTACTAGGGTTTGCCGCCACGTTTCTAAAGCGTGACATTTTTGTACATAAATGCGGCGGAGACAGAGTTCAGTAAAGCTATTGCAAGTTCTATTCGATCAAGGTGAACCTGCATGGACGAGTGGTGGACGCGGCGACCGAGCACTCTCTTTCCGTCTTGTCTTGAAAGGTAATCTGCAGACAGCCAAAAATCGATTTGACAGCCTCTCCACAGTTTATTGTACGACTGGGGTGGGGAGACGTTATTTAATGTATCTCCATTCAGATCACGGGTCTGATTCGCTGTCCTTAACATACAGCCGCACCAACAAGTTCGCCATCGTTTCACTAATTAAGGATTGAAAGTGGAGGCATTCACCACGACACTGACACTGAGCGGGCGGGACCACCTTTTCACTGTTCCTGCACATTTCAGAGACCCCCATCAGGAGAAAGCTGGTCGAACTTGTTAAGCGTTCTCTCTGCAAGGGACGTGATCTTGGGATATGTGCCCCTGCAACCATCGCCATTAAGTTTGCTTCCCGAGCCGGTCCAGGAGGATTTCATGGAGGTCTCCTTACTGGCGCAAAATGAGGCCTTCTCACCTCTCAGGCTAAGATTGGAGAGGTGAGGTAAGCAACACATGGTCACCAGTTCTGTCTGAAAACAAAAAGGGCATATTTGGGAAGGGCCCTCGAAATTCGCTCACTGTGGTAGGCGACAGCATTGATCGGGATGAGTGGCTACAGGTCTGGAGCGCTCCTGATTCTGTATGTCCGGACAAAGCAGCGACACCGTACCCGCTTGCTTATAGTGGCACAAAGGAGTGGGTGCAAACAGGACGACTGGAACCTGATCTCTAGCTCCACCACGTACGCCGATTCTGTAATTCCCGACGAGCTTCTCCACAGTTTATATGACCAAGTCAGAGTGCAGTAGGCAGCATTATGTCGACAGGAGTGCTTGCTGTCGGGTATTAAAACGTTTTGGCACAGATCGCAGGCCCCCCCACATCTCTGTGGCTAGATCGATGGATTGATCGTACGCAGTGGAGTCGTACCTCTTCGTTTGCTCGCCTTTCTGATAAATAATGGATGTAATTGGAGCAAGCTCCGGGCTATGTACGATGCGAAAGACAAAAACTTACGGCTGTGACTCGCAACTTGAGGTCCACTCAGTCAACATTTACTCTGTGCTGTATTGTTTGACTAGGAGATACTGGCACTTAATAAGGACGTCAAACAACCGATTATCCCTCCTGATAAACTGCGTTGTCACGTTTGCTTGCTTTGGAAACACACTTAATATTAGCGGGCTTTTCACCAACCGGGTGACCATCAGGTGGACTGGAGAACGTTTCTCTAATTCCTTGCTACTGTGTTAGCTCCTGCGGAACAACAGTTCCTCCTTGAATACTAAGGGAAGCTTGATGGGATCCTTTCTGACCATCTGCGCAATTCATTAATTGATGCAGAGAACGCCTACGACCATCACCGCTTTCTTGAGAAATGGTCGACTTCGCAGCTGTATTCGCCGATTCGGCATCAGCGACAGAAGGGTGACATTGTCGACATCACCCAGAGCGTGAGGAAATTAAAAGAGAGTGCTCGGTCCAGTTGGATTGCGGCGTGGCACCGACAGTTGTATCGTCTAAGGCTGTTGGCGTGGTGCATATATAAAACTCATGTGCACAAGGCCGGGGAGGCAGCTATGCTTAGCGCTCAATGGAGTCTATTGTGGGATCAACAACAACTTCCTCCGAGTGCTCCTACTCTGTCGTACTGGAGCACGATATCTTCGCAACACGCTATCATGGCGATCCTCTTAACACCTCAGTCTGACTTATTTGCGAATGTTCGGCATCAGCAACACTGGAATATCAGGGTAGTATCCGTCTCAATTCGTGAAGTCGTCCTCGTCAATATCTACACACCTAAACTACGGTCGAAACGTAAATTGTTTTTTGCTGATTTACTCTCCTGGAATTTGGAAGCGTTCACCATGATTCTCGCTGAGGACTTGAACTATGTTCAAAGCCCTCTCATTGATAGGTATAGGCATCTCCGCGCCAAACGGTCGAGAAGTCCAGCCCCGACGCCGTTATTGATACGACTGGATTAGCAGATGCGAGATTATTGCGCGACCATGCAAATGGCGAAGATTCTGACGGCTTTAAGGACCATTTTACCTACTGGGCAGGTGAACGCGCCAGTCGTATTGACCGATTCTATGTCCCTGCCACATGGGCAGACAGCGTCCAGTGGGTGGAGACGCGTATATCGTCTAATTCGTTGGAATATCAGGAGGTGGTTCTCTGCTCGCGCGACTTGTTCAAGCCTCGACGGCGTGCTCGTAATTACCCGGTGATGTATACTATTAACATACCACATCCTGACCTCGTGATTACTGAATTATTCGAGGACATGGACGGCATTGCCATTATCCAGGTTGTCACTACAATGACTTGGGATGTAGAGGTGGAAGAATGTAAACGCTGTATTCGTCGGGTCATTAGTCGGGTCAAGTAACGCAGGGCACGGCTCCGGCACGTATTGAGACGACGTTCTTAACGACAATTGATCAATCGTCCACAATAGATATTTGACAACATAGAAGAATTGAGACAGGAGAACCTTGTTCGCCTTGGTCAAAATCTTGTCCGGTGCACAGATAGCCTCCGCTCGTTTTCCCACAGAGTTGCCGACTGGGAACGTAATCGACATTTCACGACGATTCTGAAGCGGCATGGACCGGCATTTCGACTCAATACGACTATCGCAGGTCCACGATTTTCGGTGTTGTCCATCGCAGCGAGCCTCTGGAGGGATTGGCAGAGACTATTGAGCGCTTTGCAACCATCCCAAACGAGCGCGCATTTTTACGGAGGAAAGTACATGCCTTTTAGAAGAGATAACGCACGCGGACATTCTCTAGGCGATCACCGGGCTAAGCCGTCACAAATCAGCTGGTCTCGCTGGTCTATACAATGACCTTTAAAAAATAGGCGCCATAGATTCTTGTTCCAGCGCTTGTTCGGGCCAGCAATGAGATATTGACCGGATGCTGATCCCCCGCCCTTATTTTCTGGAAGCCCTTATCATCCCTTTCAGAAGAAGGGCGGTTCCGTGGATGCGATAGAATGTCGGCCTATTTCATTACTCCGAACAACCTACAAATTTTTTGCGGAGGTGCTAGCAGCACGATTACAACGCGACCTACCCAAACTTATTGGTGATTCGCAGCAGGGCTTCGTGCACAGCATAAAGATGCTAAAATGAGTGATGATGATGATCTCGCAGCTTGTTACGGATACTACTAACGAAGCTATGTAAGCCTTTGAAATCCCAGTATTTCTTTAGGTGGACTTTCGTAAGGCGTACGACACTGTTAAAAGAACCATTCTCTGCGCGGATCTGTAGGAATTTGGATTCGATACACGGTATATTCAGCTTATTTTCGGCTACATGCAGGAACCACGGCTTCACTTCTTGTCAATGGAGACAAGTCCGGACTGTTCTCGGTGGTATCAGAAATTTGACAGGGACTTTCGCTTGTCCCACTGCTTATCCTCCTCGTCGTAGACTTCTTAGGCATGGCAACCCAGCAATCGACCACCTTGTGAGGCCTTCCTGTATTAGGGGTAGCGGGGGCAACGTCTAGCGTTTGTCGACAATTCTACTTTACTTTCAGGGAAAGCGGGTTCGCTCGATATGGCGCTGGGACTTGTTTCTCTTAATGGTGCTCTGACCAGTCTAGTTTTCCAGCCGGACAAGAGTGAACTAATTTTTTGAAGACAAGTTTGAGGATGCCAGAATATCGGGGCGTACCGGTCCTTCAAACCGAGGACACCGTACGGTAATTGGGCTATGAGGTTGGACCAGCGACTTGCAGCATCGCAATTGGGCGCTTAGGATCCGGAAGCTATAACGGCGGTTATTTACGGCTTCGACGATTGCGACTAGTGTGAAGAATCGGGTGCTTATTCTCAACTCGACTATTCTCCCATCCATTCAGTCCATGAAGGCAGTATTTGACATTACGTAATGGGCGCGCCAGGACGTGAGAAATTTGTGCAAACGTTTTAGGTAGGCGCGTGCAGCAACTACAGAGGACGAAAGACACGAGATTAATCCGTGCCTACTCAAGACAGCTGGGGGTGTTGGGATGGCACCGGTTGAGGTTGCCATGAAACGCAGCTTACTAAACACGTCTGCAGTGGCCCACGCAAATCCACGATAAGTTTTTGACTCGTTTTTGACTCGCGTTTCTAGGCCTATCGGGTGTGCAGACAACTCCTGGATTGGGACTGCGTGAACAGTCTCGGCTTGGAGGTTGAGTAACATGCCTTGAAAATTAACCGAAGTTTTTCTTTATGCAGAATCTTGACCTACCACTAGAGTCTACGGTCGAACATTCTGAATGCCTGTGGGATTGAGTGAGTACGCACGCTTCGACCTTGCTTACCGGCGCGAACAGCTATTGGGACGGGGGGGATTGGGTTTATCTTGTACGTCTGCTTTCCCGAATCATCTACGTCCCAACTCTCTATTGACCGCGCTTCACCAATTTTGGATGAAGCTGGGCTGATGCCGTAATCCACATATACGGGACGACTGGGGCTTGCAGCTGCTTTGATCCACATATGAACGAATCGTTGCCTGACCTACATCGGCCTTGCACACCCGACGAGCATGGTCGAACGAGTTCTTATTTTGCATCCTACTAACAAAACGATACTCTGCATTCTACTCGCAGTCTAAATTACAGAATTGGGCCGCGACAACCCTGATGGCATATCCCCCTTTCAGCGTCCGGACTGAGCTCGCGCTACACCCTACATTGATGCTTCGCCATGCAACTCCGTTTTGATTCGGGTACGACTGGTCCACGGAGAGCAGGGGCCACATTGTCGGCGAGGGATCATTGCGACCCCGTTGACGAGCAGGTCCGACTTTGTCATGGTGCCGATGAACTTAGATGGGTTTTCATTACCGACCTCTTGGAGATGGCTATGGACTCGGAGGATAAACTCTCAGCTGGAATTAATCGCCCGCGACGACACGGCGTGGTGTTTTGATTGCATCCCAGACACAACGTAGCAAATAGTTCAATTCAGATGAAGGTTTTTCGTTTAGCGTTCGACCTTTACAAATGTCAGCTTGCTGGAGCGTTGAAACCGTTTATTGAGCAATTGGGCAAGGCTGTCAGCACCGATTCGTGGCAGCGGGCCGCGGCGCATCAGCGGTCGTTCCATTTCAGGTCTAGAATTGCTATCGAGTCGCTACCAAGCAACTTGACCTCTTTCATGAGAATTTTCTCGTGGATAATAGTTGTCGAGCGGATCCGCGGTGTCGTGGGGTTAAAGAAATGAGCGGCTCGTATGTTTTGGGAATGCACTAAAGCACGTGCTTGTTGGGGCAAACTAATAGGCCACTAAAACGGGAAATCGTTGAGAATCTGCTATGCGCCCAGAATTTCTCGGGAGCGTGAACCGCCAGACTCTATCGATACATGTCAGACAGCGGCTTAGGCTAACGAAATGATTCCAGGATGACGCAGATGACGCGGTCGTCGTCTGAAATAGGATTTGGTTTTTGATGAGCAGCTAATGTCTGACTTAGTTATGAATCGAGCGGAATGACGCAGTATCTAAGGGGGAGCGAACTTTGGTCCCGCAAAGCATTCACGATATCGGGAAGTCGGGATCCGGCATGTCACAGCGCTGGCAAAACGTGGTCATAGAGTGGTGGATACAGTCGTAAAAGGAAGCGTTATTGCACGCCGGACTCGACCTTTTTAACATAGAACCACGAGTTTTGTTGGAGACTACGGTGGAAAGTCACGAAACGCTACCGGGTCCGGTAATCCTTTCCTGGCTCAGGAGCTTTTAGACATCTTGTGCAGAGTAATGTGCTAAAAAACCGTCATGACCTATCTCGCTGTTTCCTGACCATACCCCTTGCCCCCCCCTTTGTTCCAATCAATACGCGCACAAGAGCACGAACGAGGTTTCACATTGTCTAAAAGCTCAGAACAGGAGTTTGATTTGCGCAAACCTCCCTAACAGCCATCGACACCGGTTGAATAGTCTGTACCACCCGGGGAATGCGTTCAACAGCTCCAAATGATAGACCACCTGCGTCTAACTCTATCTCTAATTACACAAAAATACATAATCAGTTATGTTTTGTGTCGTGATTTGCATTTGTCCTGACAGATAGCAAATCGACAGCGGTGCACAACGCCGAGCCATGCGAGCAATTCAAATGGATCGCATGCTCTAGAATGATTGCGGATAGTCTGCTTCAACCTCCTCCTCCAACAATGGCAAACAATACGTCTTCTAGTTTGAAAACATACCCCTTTCGGATCGCACGAATGCAGGCTATTTTTTTGCTGGGTCTCTCCGTGTCCCTGTGCGGCCGGGGCTTCTTACATTCGCTTCCGCTGAGATGCCACTGGCATCTGCTATCTTGTGCAATCCGAGCTACATAGCTCGCCCGAGCAGGCTCTCAAAACCAGTAGTGCATGCATCATCGCACTCCAGTGTTTCTCGTCCACCCGATACTGCAATGGTTACCATGGATTGTGTCGAAGACGGGAGGCCAATAAAGATGTTTGGGAACGCTCGCTGCATGAACGAGCGTTCCCAGGCTCATGAAAGTCTACTGCTCCCAGGTCTACATAACCGGCTGCGTGGATTCGACGCGCAGTCGATCGAGGGTAGTTGTGATTTTGCTGCATCAAAGGCTTCCCGCCTTTAGAAACACGCCACTATGCTATACGACACTGAGGAGCAAAAAAGTAGCGACAGAGAGCGAAGAATCGGGAGTCGCTTCCGATAGTCGTGGTTGTAGACCCTTTACAGTTTGATCTCGTGGCAGGCAAAGCTATTTCCGTGAACGATTTTGACCATAAACCTGTTCTTACGGGGCACCCTTTGTTTGGGGTGCCACCAAACTTCACGTACACTAGTACGTGCACAGGGAGCTATTTTGCTTAAACAGCTAAGCTGAGTAAAGGGCAAAAAGAGAACTGTATTTAATATGGTTAAGCATTTAACTTCAGTCTTTATCTAACTTCCTTGATCTACATTGTCGTATGACGACAACCTGCTCACTACTCAATGCGCGCGTCTAGCAGCGATTGGTTGTAACACTATTTGATACGTCTTTTGTCAACCAATCTTTGAGCAGCGCATGAATATTACAAAAAAAGGGGATAATATTCCTTTAATGTTATCCATCTGGGATAATATTGGCAGGGAATTGTCACGCTAGACAATCTCCCTATTGACTCCCGTTTGGTGTCAATATCATGTAACGGGCTACCCCATTGCAACAGCAGCGAAATGCTGAGCGAAGCACCGAAAATCTTAAAGATGATGTGGTGTTCGGTGACATGGTGCCATCATTCTCGGACAATTTTTCGACTGACAATCGATCGCAGTTGCGGCTGTGCCACAATGCGCTCGAGATGACAGAGCTCTACTTGCGTCCAGGAGTAAAATTTGTGGCAATGGTTTCGCACTGGGTGATCCAAAACCTTCTAGCAGAGCTAAAGAGACAGCACGCTCATGAACAGAAGGCACTTTTGCAATAACGTTAATAGCAGCGACCGCATGACTCCCGTCCAGCTCCTCAGTCATCTCGTGACGACGAGCTGTCATTTTTGATCTCAACGGCGTTATTGTATGCTATCCGCAAATACTCGAGTATTTCATGACATTGGCCTTTGTGATCGTCTTACTCCTTGTGGGAGTAATTCCATCTGGCGACCTATGTGCAGACTAGCGTCATTCATCTCTTCATCGGGAACTGCACCACTCCACATCCACTCATATGAATGCAGTACCGGCGGCGGTGACAAGTCCAATGTTAGGCTTGTCATGATCTGTTCCGAAAGGAATGGGTTGGAACGCGAGCAGGATCGTGGTTGCCATCGAATCTTATTTGCGTACTTGAAGCTTCACTTAGCGCAGGATACGGTGTTATCTACCGCTCCCATCTGCCGTCTGTCAAATGGACAGCAACTAACGACTCAAAAACAACTGATTAAATGTATTCCTGTAGTTGGAGATGGAGATGGAGTGGACACAGGTAGTCGTCAGTTGGAGAAGTTTAGCGCGTCCCCTCACCCGGCAGTCTAGCGTCTCCCGAGTAAGTAGGTTAAACCGAAAGTGCAACCATCAGGTTACGTTCGTGTAGCGTCAAGTGATAAACATCGTGATAAAGCAGTGCGCACACTGTACAGCTGTTTGTTCGCTCTGCAGTATGTGCGACATGGTCTCGTGTTTTCACGACTCCTGGAAATTATCGACTATTGAAGCCGCTTATTCTGAAAACCCCAAGGACAGCGTTGTGCTCATGTCGAGAGATTTCCGTACAAGAGAATTTTACAATGCTCTGTGGTTATCGAAGGAAAGTGTCGCCTAACTAACAAGCAGGTCTCGTCACCACAAACTATGAACGTTTTTGAAAGCCGCCACAACCAGAAGCTGTGGAATGTAGAACTAATGTGGCCACAATCATTGGACCTGTCTAACATCACGATACAAAAAGATAGCAGAAGCATGGGTTGAAAACAGACGTCAAGAAATTGATTTGCGAAGCGCCAGCGCATCGATAGTCACGCCTTCCGCATCTGGACCTGTGTATGCTTCATGGTTCGTCGCTGCACGGCTGTCGTTGCCAGGTGTATAGCTCCTTGATTGCAAGATTCGGACTCTTAATGCCGTGTCCGCAGTATAGTTACGACTGCGAAACGTCTACATTTCTATACAGCTGGACACGATTGTACGCGTGCACATTCGTACTTATGCGAGGTTGAAATCCTTGCTGCATTCTTCTGAAAGTACATACTTTGGTGAGGTTGTATACACAGTATACACATCTGCATCTCTCATTATCTTGGTGTGCACGTTCAATCACCCTTCTAAATGAATGACCCTTCGCGAATCACCTTTCGCAAAAAAAGCGGTCAAAAAATCGTTTCGAAAGGCCGCCAAACTTAGAAAAAAGCACTCTTGAACCCCCTCACCCCGTCTTCAGGAACACCTCCCTACCTCCCCACCACCCATCCATCCATCCATTTCCAGCGACTTCCCTTGTTGTCTCCACATGTTCGCACTCTCTCGCCTCGCACGCTCCGCGTGTCAACAAACTCGCTGCGTGTCATACGTCGCACCGCCGCGTGTCTCCGCTGACCAGAGCTACCGGTTCGGGCTCCAACTGGACACTATTAAGCCGCAAACCGATGATGACGAGGCCGCTCTAGCGCAATTAAAGGCTGTGCTAAGTCTCCGCAACGCGTCGCAGCACGAACTGAACAAGGCCCAGGTTGCCACTGCTATTGAGACGTTCCAGCGCTTCCCAGGGGATACGGGCTCCAGTGAGGTGCAGATTGCGGTTCTCACGCAGAAGATCCTGCGGAGCACGTCGCATGCGCAGGAGCACAAGAAGGATCATCACTCGCGTCGAGGACTCATTGCAATGGTCGAGAAGCGACGGAAACTTCTCAAGTATTTGCGTCGCAAAGACTTGCACAAGTTCCGGGACGTGGTGGCTGCATTGGGGCTTCGGTTCACGTGAGCAAGGGGAGAAGGTCCGGGAGAGGCGACGTCACATGGATTAGGACCGAGGTCGATCATGGTGTTTTTGTCGGCTGAAATGGACTTGAGGCCACATAGTGTGGGTTGAATCGGGCGCGCTCTGTGGTGTAGACGTGCTTTTTGGGTTGGTTGGCTTTTGCTTTATTCTATCGGCTTAGGATCTATTCTATCCCCGCTGTATTTGCTAAATTTCTATCGGTATATGTCAGACCCTAGGTTTTTTTACTGTCCGAGCTTGATCAGTACTCGGCATTCCTATCGTGCGTGTGTGATTATAACAGTGAAGAGGTAGGCTGACATTATTCAGCATGTCATTACGTACTTGTGGAATCAATCGACTTGTCTCGCTAAAAACCAGTCACCTCGATGTCTCCTTTGTGGCTTCAAAGACAGTCAAATGCTGTGTCACTCATGTTACATTCGCGTGAACAACGTCCGACTTGCACAAAACATCGAAACCCCTGTATTCCACATCCATGTGTAAACAAACGCAAAGGCGGATCGCATCATGCGTAGAAGATCCGTACATCGCTGGCACCACTTGACGTTTTCCTCAATTGATAACAACTTTACCCGCGGCGTTGCAATCCTCACGAGTTTTTACATCACCAAAACTCCTTTACTTTGTGATGGCAGTGCCTTCCCGAAAGTTACTTGGATCCATCACGTGTGACGAGTACTCCATACAAATTTGGCCGGCGGTCCCGAACAAGGCCCCAACTCGCTCGTCGAACATGGAACTTTTCAAGGTCAAAGCTTTCCACGAGCACCCCTTCGGATTCTCGATCAGCGATCTTGAGCTATTAGTTACAAGATACGCAAACACAGCAGGACAATACATGACGTCAAAAAGTGTGCATGGCATTTCCATGGTGAAAGACAACCAGGAACGCACCATTTCACCCGTTTGACCCGTGATGAAAGACGAGCCGACAAACGTGACGCGAATACCGTCGACGAGCTCAGCCCCGACTCGGTTCGAGCAAATAACAGGAACCATGTTTGCGGCGGCATGGCCCTGCATCACTCGTTGCCACTGGTCGCGTGGATCAAAGTTCGAGTCGTACTGGTTGCTACCCATGGCACTTGGGTAGAGCAACAGCTCGGCGCCCTGCACTACCAAGCTGCGTGCTACCTCTGGATACCACTGGTCCGATCCAATCGCTATTCCAATCTGACCGTAGCGCTGCACGAGCATCCATCATCATCAAGCACAACAAAAAACACATCCGTTTTCAGCACGCAACCCACACCGTCTCAATTCCGCACCCCTCCTCCTTCTCCCCCTCTTTCTCGCTCTTCTAGTCCAGCGTACCGTGTCCCACACTTTGAACGAGTCGTCCGATGGCGTAAAGTAGTATTTCTCATTGTACCCGAGTCGATCTAGTCCACCAAACACGATACACGATTGAATACACACACGACCATATAAACGCCAGTTGACCAGCATGTTCAAGTGATACCACAACATCAAAGGTCTTGCTAGCTGTCCATGCATGCATCGATTGTTCCAACGCACCTCCAATGTGGCTCTTGCGAGCTACACCCAACACACTTCCATCAGCGTCAATCACCGCGCACGAGTTATAGTACGAGTTCCGGTACCGTTCAAAAAAGCTGATGGGAATCACCACCCGCAGCTCTTTCGCCAGTAACGCCATGCCCTGGACGAGCGCCGACTCTTCCAGTGTCGTCGCCAGCAGGAAATTGCCAGCATTGAGTTCAATGGGGAAGTACGAGAACTGAAAGAGCTCTTGGAGTAAAATTACTTGCGCCCCACGGGAGCTCGCAATCCGCACGAGCGACTCGGCCTTTTTGATATTCTCCTCGGGGTTCCCACAGCTCATCTGCGTAGCAGCGACAGTCATTGTCTACACCAAACAGAAGCAGCAGCAGAAGAGATAGAGAGATAGAGACACAAATAGAGTCAGAGAGAGAGAGCCAAAAATGACGGTTACAATGTGAGACAAGATCCGAAGAGCTATTGACTGGTGGAGAGCGAGCGAGAAATAGAAATTGACTAGAAATAGAGAGGGAGACGGGGTGGGATGAGCACGTACGCGGTCAATAGCATTGGACGACGACTTGAAACTGGACACGCCGACGGTAACGGAGCCCGTGGACGACCCGACGCGAGCATTTGACGCGAGCATGAGGCGAGACTTGGCGAGCAAAAAGAGACTTTGACAGTCAATTCGATCGAGAGATAGAGCCAGGGAGGGATCAGATGATACGGCGGGGGTGGGCATAGACGGGCTAACCAGTCACGATCTTACGGCGTGATTGAGCAAGTGATCGACTGTTTGATTGGCAAGTGAGTGCATCATACAAGAGTCCCTCTCTCTCTCCCTCTCTCAGTACGTACCATGTATACACAGTGCAAGATGGAGTGGTAGTACTGATGGACAACTGGGCTGTGCGGTTTGGGTATCCCTTGGTTGTTTGATTTTCTTCTCTTGCTTTGGGCGCTAGCAAATGACGCCCAGGTGCTTGGTCCGTGGGTACTTTGTCTGCAACTGTGGCCACTGCACGACGAACTCGTCGGCTACGTAGTACAAGAGCTTGCCTGTGAGTGACAAGTGCTGGACACGAGCAAAGCTCTCGCAAAAGATGATCTTGGAGTCGGTTTCAACGCCGAGGACTCGGAACAGCAGCACAGCGGCACATATGGGGATACACGTCCCTGGAAGTACCACACGTAGCAGCATTAAACAAACACAAACGGACGTGCACAATAAATGTACTTGTGAGCTGTTTGTTCCTCCGTTGGCCACTTTGATGTGACCCAGTTGAACGCACCAGGTCCGTTACAGAGCACGAGTTGTGGACGGCGGTTGTAAACCAATCGCAGACACGAGTACAAGGCCAGGAGAGTTGTCCACACAGAAGACGACCACGACTGTCCCACCTACATGAACACCCGAGGGTGACGTCCACATCCAATCAAACAAACCAAAGAAACAAACCAAAAAAACACACAAAAGTGCATCACTCCTTTTAAAAAAAGCGTCGTATGCTTTATGAGGTCAAAAGAAACGTGTCGCACCTCTCGACTCCGTGGAATACTATCGAACGAGTCCGTTGCCTCTCGAACGTCATAATCCAATTGTGTCCGTTTTTTACTCGTCTTGTCCGTCTCGGTCAGTACAAACGAGATATACGTATACACGTCGCGATCCAGTCTCTTCATGAGTGTCAAGAGCTCCGTCGTATGGCCTCCTGAGCCCAGGACTGCCATCACACGGACCTTTTGTATCGGGTTCTTGCGTGTCGACGCGTTGTAATGGACGCTCCGTCGCGAATAACTTGAGAGAGGGACTTTGAGGCGCAACGGAACCAGTACGTGCCAGACACGGAGGAGAAGCAAAAGCACGGCCAGTAGGAGCAATGGCCAGGATTGAAGCCGTTCCATGGGCGTTTTAGTGCCTCCGTCGAGAAAGAGGGGTACAATACGGTGGCCTGCATGTAACTTTGAGTGTACCCCTGGTCGATTGTGTCGAAAGCGTGCGTTTGATGCGCTACGGTGGACCACGTAAAGTGAGCTCCATCTAAAAGCTAGTCGAGGGCGACTCCTAGAGTGCAAGTACTACACTCTCTAGCACGACCTAGACGTCATTCTTTCGAGGTGTTCTACTGCTAGATGTTAGAGCAGCCTCCCTCATTCGCATCACGATCTTCAACTCTAACTACAGTATCAATCGCTCACGTCAAAAACCAACTGCTTCTCTGCGTCATCCTTATTTTCCACGAAAAATAAATAAATGACGCCATCACGACGTAATATTCGTCCGACGCCGCATCCCTGCTTCCACCAATCACATTCGTTCCCGCTACTCGCGCTCGGATCCACCCACCTCCGAGCAGCTCCTGTCACGAATCAGGCGACATCCCCACCCCACCCCAACCACGTTACGCTTCGGCCATTCAAAGTGTAGCCATCTCATGGACGCCGTCGTGTCCTGCGCCAAGGCCACCACCGCGCCAACGCTCTTCCGCCGCAATCGCATTCGAATCAAGGAGCTCCTGCGCAGTGGCTTGGAGCTCGAAGGCAAGACCGTCACCGTCAAGGGCTGGGCCAAGACCTTGCGAGAAGCTGGAGCAGGCGCCTTTGCCTTCCTCGAATTGAACGATGGCTCGTGCTTTGCTGGCGTCCAGTGCGTGATCAACAAAGAAGAGACGACGGGGTTTGCTGCTGCCATGACTTCCGGAGGCGTGGGGGCCAGTTTCAGTGTCAACGGCGTCGTCGTCAAGTCACCAGCCAAAGGTCAAGAAGTGGAGCTCAAGGCGCTTGACGTGACACTGTACGGGGGTATCCCTGACAGTGCCACGTACCCCATGAGCAAGAAACGTCATACCCTCGAGCACTTGCGAGCTCACGCTCATTTGCGTCCACGCTCGAACATCCACGGCGCAGCAATGCGCGTCCGCAATGCAATGGCGTTTGCCACGCACGAGTTCTTTAACCACCGCGGCTTTTTGTACATCCACACGCCCATAATTACCGAGTCGGACTGTGAGGGAGCAGGCGAGATGTTCAGTGTGACGACCATGTTGAGTCAGCACCCGGATGGGAAGCTCCCAGTGACAAAACAGAACGCGATTGACTACTCGAAGGACTTTTTCGACCGGCCGTCGTACCTCAGTGTATCGGGCCAATTGAATGTCGAGACGCACAGCTGCGCGCTCTCGGACGTGTACACGTTTGGCCCGACGTTCCGTGCCGAGAATTCCAACACTTCTCGCCACCTTGCCGAGTTTTGGATGATTGAGCCGGAGATTGCGTTTGCAGACTTGAAAGACGACATGGACTTGGCGGAAGACTACCTGAAACACTGTGTGCAGTACGCACTGGACCATTGCAGTGAAGATTTGGAGTTCTTTAACAAGAACGTGGAGAAGGGATTGCTCGAGCGACTAGCTTCTACTGTTGACTCGCCGTTTGTGCGGATCTCGTACACGGACGCTGTGGAGCTGTTACTGAAGCCAGAGCATCAGACAAAAGGCAAGTTCTCGGTCAAGCCGGTCTGGGGCACAGATTTTGGCTCGGAGCACGAACGCTATTTGACTGAAGTCGTGTACAAGAAGCCGGTCGTGATTTATGACTACCCGAAGGAGTTCAAGAGCTTTTACATGCGTCTGAACGACGATGGCAAGACTGTTGCTGCTGCTGACGTGCTCGTGCCCAACGTCGGTGAAATCATTGGCGGATCGGCCCGTGAAGAGCGTCTCGATGTGCTTGAAGCTCGTATGCGGGAGTCTGGGGCCAACCCCGAGGATTACAAGTGGTACCTGGAGCTCCGCAAATACGGCTCCGTCCCGCACGCTGGCTTCGGTCTCGGCTTTGAACGCCTCATACGTTACGTGACTGGCATTGAGAACATTCGTGACGTGATTCCATTCCCACGATGGCCGGGCAATGCCTCCTTCTAAGCAGTTGTGTGTGCGAGGTAGGCAACGGGAAGGAGTGTTCAGCACTGACTGAAGTGAAGCCTTTTTTGCAGGTTATTGCGTTATTAGACGATAAAGACGTCAAGATGTCGGTACATGCCGCCAAGTTCGCTCTTAGTCGACAATTGGAACTAGTTGCAGTCGTTGTCGAGTGTAGCTCTTTGACTGTTGCATCTGTAGTTTTCGGATCCAAGGCATACAAAAAGCCAGTCAATATCTTCGACATTGCCGCCTGTCGGTCGCTTTGTTTCAAATCCGTGTCTTGATTGCACGTTCGGTCTCGCGTCATGACCGAGCGCATAAGTACCGGATGTCCTTCCTCGTTAAGTACGAGTCACGCTCAGCCAATCACGCTACGGCAGTCAGTGCACCCATTCGACTCCAAGAGCTCCTCTTATCATGACGCATGATCTGTCGTCACGCATCGAGTACTCGGAGAAGTACGTGGACGATACTCACGAGTACCGGTACGTGCATTTGTCGGTTGTCTGGAGGCAGTAAAGTGCCGAAGAAGGAGTGGAAATTGCATCTTTTGGACATTCGATACGGCTGCGCGATAGATGGAGTCGACTGGCATTCCCACGTTGTACTATAACGTCGGAATTGAGGTGACATTTGGTCTGCTTTTTACTGTTGCTGTTGCTGGCGTAGACATGTGATTCTGCCGAAAGAGATGCAGCGTCAATTGCCGGATCGTTTGCTGACAGAGACAGAGTGGCGTCAATTGGGCGTCCAGCAGAGCCGCGGTTGGGTGCACTATGCTATTCACAAGTACGTGATGCTTTGCTGCCGCTTGTTGTTGCGGTTGTCTCCATGTCTCTTCTTTTGTAGGAGGGTGCCATGGATACATAAAGACTAGTTGTTGTGTTTGTATCGGGTACTACTGGGGAGCATGATGTAGGATGTTTGACGTACTCATGCATCCAGTTGATTGTTGTTTTTTGTGTGGGATCATGCAGACCGGAGCCGCACATTTTATTGTTTCGACGTCCGCTGGGTACGGACCCGACGACTGGTCGCGTAGACCTTGAGATGGAGAAGCAAGCCAAGCAAAAGTATGCGCAAGAGTTCAACTGAGGCAGAGGTTGTGATAGCTCCTGACTGGGTATGCAGAAAATCTCGGCAGAGCTGGGCAAGTAGACGCGAGCGAGCGAACGCTTTGTCTACATGAGACGTTGTCTTTCGTACCTTTAGCGGCTACAGCGCAACGATGACAATGCATTCTACGTGCGATAAGTACATTGATTTGCAAGTCGGGTCCGACTATACGACGAGCACTGCATCATTGTTGCATCCAGTAAAAACTCGTTCTACGAACAACCGGCATCATTTACACATTGTACTAGTATTCCGCCTCACAACGGCACGGATCTGATTCAGCGTCACATCATGAATCCTGTAATTATCTGCTTACGGCTCGTGCAGACGACTCAGGTGCAACTATATCAATATGTGCTCAAAAGACGTCCTAGTATGCTAGCATCGGAATAGACTAAACGCTACTGATGGGACTTTTACCACAACGAACATAGTGATTCAGACTCGGCAATCATATGATGCGGATATGATCTGAATCGTACTTGATGCTTCAACTGCGTTGTTCCTCCTCAAGCTCAGTCAGAGTCACGCTACCATCATTCAAACACATTTCTGTGATGTCACTGATCTAGGTCCGTGACAACGCGCTGTCATGCCACGCACTCCACAATCCAGAGAAAAGAGAGAGAGAAGGGTAAGGCTCTGCGTACCCTCTCATTGCCACTTAAGCCTACGTAAACTATCACCGTCCAGCTCCCATACACAGCTGCTGAACTTTGTCAACCGTCGCAAGATGGAATGACGTCCACCCACTCTTGGCCTCGTACCGTGCGTGTCCAGTCAATGCAGCAGCCTCCACGTCACTCCATTAACGCCACGCAACTTGCAGAAAGTAGGACCAAACCATCACATCGCTCGACATCAAGTTGATGCGAGCGAAAGTGTACCCTCGCCATCGACATCTCTGTCTCTTGCCTTCTCTGAGTCTTGTGTCCAGCCACAAAAGCAGAGGCAGAAGAGGCAGAAAGAACGGGGAACCCTACTGAAACCATTTCGTACACGCACGTCAGTCACCAAGTACCTTTCAACGTGTCCGGCGTGACGTCCCGTCTATGTCCTTTTCAATCGCATACCCCCACCCCTTTCTCGACACTTCGACGTGACGATTGGCTAGCGACTGCAACAAGTCGCTATGCCACGCTGCTTCGTCAAGTTTCCCGAATGTGCTGCTGCTACTTCAGACGCTTTTTTCTTCTTCTCCTTCAGCTTGTTCTCGACCGACCGACCGACTGTCAGTTGTCAATTGTCTCGGGACCACGCACTTGTGTTCCACTTGTCGTTCATTACCTCGTTCAATTGCCCACCACTAATTAGCCGCACACCTCTGTGTATAGAGAACGAAGTAGCGAACTAGCGATAGAGAAATCGGTCACGTAACGAGCAATCAGACAACCAATACCACTAGCACTACCACCACTACATAAAACAAGCTAGATCCATCCATCCATCCATGCCACTTCAAAATCAACTGCTGGCCACCAGTGCCTTAAAAGACGCCATGGGCGCCGAGATCAAAAACCGTCACGTCCCCGTGCACGTGAAAATGCTGGCTGGCATGGCCGGTGGCGTCGCAGAAGCTTGTATCTTGCAGCCATTGGACGTGACCAAGACGCGGCTGCAGCTCGACCGTCTCGGGCGGTACAAGGGCATGGTACACTGTGGCCAGACGATCTACAAGACGGAAGGCGGGCTCGCTTTGTACAAGGGACTGTCTCCTTTTGTCACGAACATGGTGCTCAAGTACGCGCTGCGGTTTGGCTCCTTTGCGTGGTTCAAAGAGCAGCTGGCAGGCGGGAAGGACAAACCCATGACGCCGACAATGAACTTTACCGCGGGGTTACTGGCTGGTTGCATTGAATCGGTCGTGATTGTCACGCCGTTTGAGGTGATCAAGACCCGCATGCAAAAGGAAGTGGGCGTCGGCCGCTTTAGTGGACCCATTGACTGTACGCGGCACCTTGTCCGGAACGAAGGCCTTGGAGCTCTGTGGAAGGGCAATACGCCGACTATGGCTCGTCAAGGCAGCAATCAGGCGTTTAACTTTATGGCTTTTGCCTGGCTGAACCACCACGTGTGGGACAAACAGGACGGAGATGGCAAGACGTTGCCGACATATGCCACGTTTATTAACGGCCTTATTGCAGGCTCGCTCGGGCCGATGATGAACACGCCTATGGACGTGCTCAAGACGCGGCTGATGGCGCAAGAGACGGTCGCAGGTCAAGAGCTGAAGTACAAGGGCTTTTTTGACGCGTTGAAGGTCATTTCGAGGGAAGAAGGCGTAGCAGCGCTTTGGAAGGGACTGCTCCCGCGTCTGACGAAGATGGCACCGGGTCAAGCCATTACGTGGTCGGTCGTCATGCGCGTGACGTCTACGTTTGAGAATCGAGAGCTGGAGATGGCCGAGAACAAGATGAACATGTAGAAAGAGCGAGGGAGGATACAGATACAAGAGGAGAGATTTCGAGCTGCGGGGCACGTGCTGGCCATTAGCGAGAGACTTGGTACTTGAAAGATTCATTTTTGCGTGGAGAGTCGTACTGCAACTACATACGTGGACGTCATGTTTTCGAATGCTCATGTTGCACTGAATTGGAGGCTGATCTCATGAGATTTGGCGTGGAGGTAGGAGGTTCCTAATAACATCCCGAGCTGACAGCTGGCTCTTTGTACGATTGCGACGGAGCCATTGGGACAAAGAAACGTGGGATGGAGGATGGGTACAAGTGGTCTCATGTTTACGCCCACCCGTGAGACAAACAAGGTAGTCAACCGCCTCTAGCGACCCATATCCATTGTACGCCGAATAGTTCAGCTAGTACGATACTAATCAGATCGATCCCACGTCATGCTGGTGGTTCTCAGAATAAAAAAGCGACAAGTCTATTCGTAATTGCGTTACGCTGGACGTGAGTAGTGTCCGCGATCTCTATTTCTACATCTCTACACTAACTATCTACCAATATTACACTCGCTGGCTTCCAGCTTTGCTTCATTCATTGACTCGCACGAGTCGGTCGAGACGATGACGACCGCTTGCCTTCATGCGATAGTCGCTCCGTCGGTGGAAAGTCCCGTCGGAGCTTCACTTCAATCTCCGCTTCCGACAATCCCATCGCGCGGTACTTTGCAATTGCACCCAGCAGCTTGTCGAGATGACGGCTCGTGCTTGAAAGTCGTGGTGGCAAGCCAAAGCTGTCTCCGTTTGAAAAGAGCGAGCTCCGGTCCAATGTATCCCCTTCACTTCGAGCGTGACTGTGCATGAGCGGTGGTGCCGGATCATCCATCACCATCATGCCATGCGGCCTTGCCACTTCATTTGCAACATCATCATCATCATCATCATCGTCAACGCTCTCGTCGTCGCTGTACGCGTCGTCAAATTCGTCATAGTAATCACTACCAAGCGAGTACACGGACCCTTCCATCGATGTCTGCTGGAGCGCTCCACTCGCACTTCTCGGTGCTGCAGCATAATTACTATTGCGACTACTGGCTCGACTCCGACTCGTGCCTTTTCGCGACCGCATGGACAATCGACCAGTCAGTCGGGAATTGAACAGCGTCGATGTGCTACTTGCAGTCGCTGCCATCGTTCCTCCCGCCAGTCGATGCCAAGGAGCTCCGTGGTTGCAGCACTCACACACACCTCCCGTGCTGTTCTCCCGTCCATCCTCCAGCAGCTTCTTCCCCGTTTTATACGTCGAGCAGCCACACGGCCCCGAGTCGGAATCGCGACCAAAGAGACACGTCCCTCGCCGGCCGACACCAAGTCGCACCCGTTGAGCGCGTCGCTCCATCTCTTCCCACAATAACGTCCGCGCTGGCACGGGTTTCATCGGGACTAACCCAGCAGCTCGCTTGGCTGCAAACTCCTTTGCAATCTCCAGCAAAATCGTCTCGGCTTGCTGGATCCGTCGTCGCTGCTCTTCTGCTGCTCGGTGGGCTTTTTCTTGACCTTCTATTGCTTCAGCTTCTTCTTCTTGTCCGACTTGACAAGGCATGACAAAACCGGCTCTTTGGTCGTCATCATCATCCTTATTCAGCGCGTGATTTGGTTGGTCAGCATGGTACCCACTACCCTCCTGGGTGTCGTGGGGGAGGGGTTTCCGTCGTGACAAAACGTGCATCTCGTCGTCGTCCGTTTTGCGTTTCAAGCTCTGGAGCTGGTCAGGAGGACCCCCAAAGCACCCGACACCTTGACCCGACCGTCTCGTTCCGAGCAATGACTCGGTCGCGGTGATCGTACTGCAGTCACTAGTCACGCCTTCGCTCGGACGTTTTGGGGCGTGACTCGGACCAGATTCGACGAGGACTGACCGCTGCGTGAAGGAGGACGAGGCTACGACAACAGGTCGAAAAAAAGGACCGGGTGACTGGGACAACGTCACGCGACGAGAAAAGGACGCAAAGCGTTGCTGTTGATGATGTGAATGCCCTTCGTCTCCTGCTTGAGGGTGTTGGTGTTGTGGTGGTGGTAGTTGTTGTTGTTGAGGTTGATGGTGTTTCGGTTTTTTCGAGACTGTAAGCGAGTTCCCCATCGATGGAGCGATGGAGGAGGACAAATGGGTCAATGGAGGGATTAAGTGATCGATTGGGAGATTGGTAGATTGGGAGATAGACGGACGGACGGACGGACGGACGGACGATTATACGTATGCAAAAAGAGACGCGCTGGCACGCAGGTGAAAGAAAACCGACCGTGCGTCTTCAGTGTAGAATTCCAAAGTGGTGGCGTCGCGGTTGACGGTTTGTGGGCTGAGTGTGACTAAAGGTGTCCAAGGTGGAAACTACAGCGAGAGACTTGCGCTCGATTACTTCTCGACGCACTGAAACGGCGATGAAAGGCTCGACAGACGGGACGCGCTGGAACGACTCGAAAGGTCCTGTTTTGGTCCCTCACATGCTTGCTCACTTGATGTTTGTATGTGGGCAGACATCAGCGAGTGTGTGCTCCACAAATGTCGAGGGAAAATCAATTCCGAGTCACACCTGGTTTGACGGACACTCGTGTCAGCTGCTGGAGTGTGATGCGGGATGATTGTGCTGGTTTAGCCTGTGTTTAGCGACGTCGACGATACTGACATTGTTCGATTTCTAAAGAGAGAGGAGACCCACGCAATTCGACGACCGGTTGTAATTTCTGGATGGACGGATAGAAGGGGGCGGGTGTCGTTCTATTCGAGCGATTAAGAAGAAGAAGAAAAACTTGCGAAAATAGACTTGCAAAACCACGAGCTGCGTTCACAGTCAGTCAATAAAAAAACACATTGAAAAACGTTTTAAATAAAGAGCAACAGATGCACTAATAGCTGCACGGTCCTCAAGAGGTGCTAGAAACTAATGAGTAAAACCTATACAAACCTTGATGCAGGATGGGCTATGACTACCACCACCTCTGCACCGCGACCTCCTATCGCTAGGTCTTGCAAGAGATCGGTCAATTGATCGTGCTAGCCGATATCATGGAACTTTGTCTAGTGAGACCATCGCAATCAAAAGCGCAGATCTCTCTCCGAAGCCACAAACAAAAAGTCTCAAAAGTACCGAGCTCAATGGTCTTTTCTTTCATGCTCTGGAGTTCGGACTTGAACCAATAACTTCCTGTAGCAGTCCCTTGTTGCTGCCGAGGAGTTCGTACCCGCCACACACAAAACAAGCGCGACATGGCATAACATCGACGAAAACGGCGCTGACGAGACAGTGACGACTGCGGCGAGTGAGGCAAAAAAGCTCGCGCCTGTCCGTCTTGAAGAAACGTGACACTTCAACTAGCCAGTCCACGCGAGCCAGTTCGTTCCGAAGATCGTGGGTAGATTTCACGTCAAACTTGCAGCGGACGCGAAATGGTGCGACATGTCTTGAAGCGACGTTACAAAGTTGACTGACGTACTTGTGGGGTGAAAGTTGGTTGTGAATAATCAATCAAGTGAGCGGATTACCAACACGAATCTCTCGTCCTGTGTGTGGGGGCAAGAGCCTACTGGACTACAAAAAGTGGTCTTTTGGATCACCAATAGGTTACACACTGGTAGTCAGTGCGATATAAACCACTGACTGCTGTTTTGGGAGGGGTGCGATGGTAGGATAACACACGGAGGCTCTGTATTGATCCACAATGTGAACACGATGCCACGCGCTTCAGACGCAAGTAATCTCCATTACATTGCAAGATGATTCAGCCTTTTGAAGGAGAAGGATCATGCAGGTAAAACGGCATGAGAAAAACGGCTTCAATCTCAAGTTTGATGTCTTCAGTCACGACGCCTTCTCCCTGCTGTCGATCGTGTTTCATTTATTGACCTTGCCGACCTCCTCATCCTTGGTCTTTCATTCCTGATTCGCGTTACCCTCACTCTCCAAAGCATCTGCAACACATTTTGAAAATGGTTCGTCATTGAGCTTTGTTTGCTGCGCCAATTTCTGGGCAGCTCGCAGCACGGCGTCATCTTCACTATCTTGCTCCTCTTGCTCTGCTTGCTCGGCACTTGCGCTCTTGGGCAGAAAAGGCTCGCCAGGACACAGGGCCTCGAAAATCGCACGAGCGTTGGCAGTCACACTTTCCAGGTGGATCTCCAAAGGACTAGCACCATTGCCAGGTGCATTCAGTAGATTGACGGGATCTAATTTATCATCTGATTCGGACATACACGTTTCGCACACCCACACGTTTGTCGGCAGATCTCGACGTTTCGTGCTCGCACTGATGTCACAAGTGCCACCGGAAACAAGGTGGTCCGTCGAGAACATAGCCCGCCAAGCAATTCGGTCGCTCCAAGCTGACTTCGACGGTGGATTTGTCGTGATATCTGGCGCTTCAACTTCTTCTGCATCAGATGCCGTCCTCCTCTCTAGAGTGTTCGCGGGGACCTCATGTGAAGTTGCTTTGGCGTCAGCATTGGTCTGCTTACCATGCTTCTGCTGCAAGTCTGTCTCCGAACTCAAAATAAGTCGTCGGATCACGGATTGCAAGAGCTCTCGCTGTTTCACAGTCTGGTCAAACCAATCAGCTGGCAACGGCATCGAGACATGCACAAGAAAGTAGCCCCTCGGACACGCATATGATCCGACATCAAGCTGCACAACTTGAATGGCAAACGGGTTCTTGAATTCGGCATCTTCTGGCGGAATGACAATCATGATGCGGGCCATACCTTCGCGCAAGGAAGCTTTTAGAGCAAACACACCGCGTAATATCCGACCGTGTACGCGTTCTGTCTTCTCTTCATCATCTGTGAGGCGAAGACAGTCAGCGTAGCTACCGCTAGTCACGATATGCTTCGCCCGCAATACACCGCCATCGCTGCAATGTACGCCACTGACCTCTCTCTTCTCAGTGTCCAACACAAATTTATCAACGGAAGCGCAAAGAACATAAAGGCCACCGTAGACAGCACTTAGCCGACAGAAGCTCTGTGCAAGCTCGCTGATGCCGTATAATGGGACCAAGAAAGCGGTCCCTGTAAACCGTCCTATCGACGCCACATAACGATAGACTGCAGCAAGTCCATCACGAGCTGAGATCTGGTTCTTCGCCGCTGGAAAGCTCGCTAGTCCGACACAGTACACGACCACCTGCTGCAATTTCGTCGAAAGCTTGAAGTGCTTCTCAAGTAGCTCCTGGAATGGACGATCGAGGTACGCAGCAATTTCTGCATTTTCATCGGTCTGGCTCGCCTTATTTTGTGGTCGTTTCAGCGCCCGACCAAGAGCCAACGTCCGCTCGTTTTTCGTCGTTACATCTTCGTGTAAAATGTGCGTCTCGCCGTAGTCAGCCACGAACTGCAAGAACTTCATCAACTGCCGTTTCTCCACCATGCCCAGCAGCTTGCTCTGGAACACATCCTTCTTCGAGCAAGGAACTTCCCACACTGTATCAAAGTAAGCACCTTTTTCCGGGTGCTCAACGCCCAACGCTGATGGCTGGAAGTGCACATACGTGCGCTCGATCGCTGCAAACTCGAGGTACCTTCCTACACCTGAGGTGATCAGAATTTCCACGAGCTGCTCTGATGACAGCATGAGCCGAGGGTTCACGTCAATATTAAAAGACGAGGACTGCTGTAACATCTCCTCCTTCACAGCTTCGTTCGCAAAACCTTCCTCGAGCAAGTGACACTCAAATGAGCTCTTCAGTGGCAGCACTCGTTGTTTTCCCGTTTCCAGTTCGGTCACTGTCTCGTCCGCATTTTTTCCAGCGTGTTGACTACAGTCTTCCTCGTCACTAAAACTGCGAGGAACAATAGCCTCGTTCCTTGTCCATCGAAGGAACTGGGCCAACGGGAACGACGCGTAGTTGCTGCCATAGTAATCATTCTAGCAGAGAGACCGAGAGCAGTGAAAATAATATCACAAATAAATACAAAATAACAAAAAATAGGAGAGAAAAAAAGGTGGCAGAGCATTAATTTTTATCGACAATGGAAAAGACGAGCAACTGTTTAGAAACTTGGCAGAAATACCTGATCCAGATGCAGCACCTTCTTCCCAACGCGAGCCAATGCTCTGTATCAATTAGAAATGCATGAGTTTACAGCCAATGGTTTTTTTACAAGCGAGCTTCTATTTGAGCTCCTTTTTGTGCACGCCAAAAAGCGTTAAAACGGAGAATACTTAGTTATAGCCGTACCCTGCTAAAATAGCTTCTACCATGCCAGTCCCTAAGAGCAGGACGTCATACTTTGTCGCCTTTAAACTCGCGTCCATCCTGTAAATTAATTCGAAACGTCACGCAGACGTTTGGTGGTCTTAAAGCCGGTGTCGGGTCAGTATCGAAGAGAGTAGTGGCACTTCGAGCGGAATCGTTGCGATTAAAACGCTTTTTCGAGATGAAAATAGAAATTGTCTGTGACCTACGACAGCGCATGCTCCTGTAAATTTCAGAGTAGGTTGGTAAAATACGCAGCTCCAGCACACCGGTCCAGCGAAACGTCTGATGATAGTCACTGTATGTGATACACACAAATGTCCCCGGATAAATTGGGAACGCTGCAGTTTACCCATTTCAAGTCAAGTAGACGATTTTGAGAAGACCCATGGGCCGATGAAAAGTGTCCTATATTTGTAAAGTACGCAGCCAAGGTAACATGGTCATATCGACCGATCGAGCAGTCAGTCTCAGAGCGACGAGACATTCAAAACGGGTCCGAAGAATGGAAACGTGCAACAAGTATACAGGAGTGTGTATGTATACTTCATCCAGCACTGATCTGTCAGAGAGCACATGCAGAAAACGCAATGAAGTAGCTGCAGGAAGCGACCTCATCCCGCACAATAGTGCCAGTCAAAGTCTCATGGGTTTACTTGCCTGGTACATACTAGGCGCACAGACGAGGAGGAAGCATCGAGAAAAGTCCATCAAACGAACTTTGATCGCTACTAGACCACGTGATGGCAGAAAGATCGATGGGGTTAGAGGCAGGCAGACTTGCTACTATCGATAGTTATGCATCAATGACAACAAAGGTCGCGACGAGACAGTAGAACGGTTGGTCAGGTGTGTATTGAATACAATAGGGAGTGAAGGGGCCGACCTCGTACTTGAGTTCCAACCCCAGCTGTAAACAACCCGTGAACGTCACCTCGAAGTGCAGCACCTTCTCTCTTTTCCAGTCATCCCATCTGCTCTCTACAGAATAGCGGCAATGGCATTGCCCGCGCCAACCAAAGTGGCCAGAACCCCAAGAGCCCAGCAAATGCCACGCTGCGGCTGCAGGGCGTGTGCGTACACGTAAGTGTGCAGGCACCGGATGATCGTGTACCCGATCATGGCACTGGCGTGAACCGTCGAGTCGCTCCCGACCAAGACGCCGCCTCCAAAGAGACAGAGGGCAAACGGAATCGATTCCAAGTCGTTGCCCACGATTCGGGTCCAGCGGAGCTCCACTTCTCGGGCCTTGAGGACCTTTTCATCGTCCGTCTTCCCAAGCCCGTGCGTCTGTTTACGGCCTTTCCCCATCGTTCGAGCTAGACCGAGGGCGGCATCTTCAGGGGGTCGACCACCTGACGCGTACTTCTTCGCGCCTTGAATGGCTGTCGCCAAGAGGAACTTGACGTACAAAACCGAGCTACAGGCGATGTAGACTTTGGCGTTCGAGTCGAGCATTGCAAATGGAATGGTGCTGGTGATTTCAGCTATGAAGAGGGATTCGGAAGAGGGAGAAGAAGGAGGAGGGGAAGATCACGGGACGTTGCGGGTGTGAGAAGGGGGTTCTTGACGTACGCAGGCAGCCGCTATCTTTGATAACGTAACGGGATGTGCAGATGAGACCAAAGGACACGAACGTCTGGTCCCTCCTCTGAGGCTAACGGCAGGAGCGTAGGGGGAAGTGGAAGACTTTGAGGCAGGATTCGTGCTTGTGGACTAGTGATGAGGAGGCGGATATGGCAGGGAAGGATGTTCGGTCATTTGTAATAGGATCCAGTTGCAGGTTCCCTCCCTCCTGATGATTTGTGAGCAGGTCCGAAGGGTAGAACCGTCTGTTTGGTAGAGGATGATGACCGAACATGATTTCGAATCGCTGACAAATAGAAGCGCTCATGATGGACACGAAGGTATTTTGATTGACGACGTTTATAATCTAGGAGATTGTTTGATCTCCTGTTTGGAGGTTGTCAAAACAAGTCATAGCGAGGATAGAATTACGCAGGTAAGTCACAGATATGACGTGCACGAGAATAAGTCCCGATACCAGGTGGTGACTGCCGTATGTACGTTGTATGACCAGGTGACTCCGACGCGTCGGTTTCGCTTCGTTGAGGTGTGACACACCAACCACCCAGAGCCAGTCATTTCGTTGAAGCCATTCGATCGACATGTCGTTGGCGCTGCTGGACAGGAACGTGTTCAAGAAGACGCTGGAGGTTGTGGGGGTGCGTGTCGAGGCCAAGAAAATCGGTTCCGTGATCAAGAAATTGCACGGCCACTTGCTCAATCTGCCGCGACTACGAAACGTGGTGCCCGACCCGGTTCATCCCGATCCGTTCAAGAATTCCAGCAGTAAATTGATTTTACTCAATACTGACGTCAAAGACACTGAGACGCTGCAGCCACTGAAGGAGGAGATTGTGAGTTTTTTGAAGCAGGAGAGTCTGGCTATTGTCCGTCATGCCATTGAGCTGGATTACAGCTACTTTGCAGTGGATCAGGTGCTCAGTGAGCTCTTGCCCAACGACATTGACGTCCCCAGCTCGTTCGAGACGGTCGGACACATTGCACACTTGAACTTGAGAGACAAGCAGTTGCCGTACAAGAATGTCATTGGACAGGTCATTCTCGACAAGAATGCACAGCTCCGGACAGTTGTGAACAAGACGGACAATATCGAGACCAAGTTCCGCACGTTTCCGATGGAAGTGCTCGCTGGAGACGATGATATGGAAGTGGTGGTACATGAGAGCAAGGCCACGTTCAAGTTCAATTACGCTGAAGTGTACTGGAACTCTCGCTTGCAACAGGAACATTTGCGGATCATCCGTCGCATCAAGCCTTGTGATGTGGTTTGTGATATGATGTGCGGTATCGGTCCTTTTGCTATTCCGGTGGCCATCAATGGCAGCAAAGTTTATGCGAACGACTTGAATCCGCGGAGCTACCATTACTTGAAAGAAAACATTGCACTGAACAAAGTGGGCAAGCTTGTGACGCCCTACAATCTAGACGGCCGTGTGTTTTTGGCGAAATTACTGAGCGAGAAGAAGCAGTTTACACACGTGCTGATGAACCTACCGGCTATTGCGCTCGAGTTCCTCGATGCATTTCCTCGACAATTTGATCATTGGGAAGGCGAGCTACCCTACATTCATTGCTACTGCTTCTCTAATGCTCCAGATGTCAAAAAGGATGTGAAGGAGGTAAGAAGGTGTTTGGCTTTTCGAGTCAGAATCGATACGGGTCAGTGCTCATGAGTTTGTGTGTGTATTAATGCTGTTTGTAGCGCGTCGAAAAGATCATGGGTGGAGAACTGGATTTGGGCAGGACGGAGTTCCATCATGTGCGGGACGTGGCCCCTAAAAAAGCTATGCTCTGCATCTCGTTTCAATTACCCGAGTCCATTGCGTTCAGCTCTGAGCGTCTGACGTCGAAACAGAATGATCGAAAGCGACAGAAGGTCGAGGCCGTGACCACAGCTTAATCAAAGCTTGTATCATGATTTTGGCGGCTACATGTTAGAAATGGGTTGGCAATCATTGCTGGCTGCAGTGTTTCGTGCACGTCGAATAGCTGTGATACTACAGCATCCAGCCGGGCGGCGGAGGAGTAAAGATCTGCGCAGCACGTAAGCAAGTAGGCATCTCATTGTTCTTGGAAACTGCTCTAGAGATTCTCTGCAGGTTTCCGACAGCATAGCAAGGAAAGTGATAGCATCAGCAAAGGAGAAGCTTGATTCCCTACAATGATCACCCCCACACCACCACCTTCATAGTTGCATCAATCATACAAGCTAGAAGAGCGATGTAGATAATCCACGCACATTACAAGTGGACAGGAAAGATTGGATGTCAAATCAATTGACTCCACGGCCGAGTCAAGCATGGCGATCATTTCTATCGCCCCTGATCGACGTCTTTAATTACCTTGTTCACACTTTGTGGTCGACAGGAAATTGCGCCAGCCGCGTACATGTAAATGCAGAGACAATTGCTCGTTACAGTATTCAACGAATCTCAACATTTTAACGTCTTCACTTGTGTGGTAGTATCAAACGTTGAGCTATTAATACTTACAATCAGAGGTCGTTTTGTACTATCGCATAAAAGAAATATGATATTGTCTCATCGCATATGGCGATCTGCCTTCTCTTCACTCTTATGATGAACAAATGGTGTCGACTGCAGATGAAGTCAAACGCCCGACACGCAACAGAATCTGGACATATCGATGTGACGTAACTTAGTTGTGTGCGGATACTTGATGGAAGCTGCTGGAAATAATCGAATAAAAAACCTCACCCGAGTTGCAGCAGCACTTAATCTGTCGCAGCAGCCATCAGGTGTATCCATTTCAGCATCAAACGCCATCAACACACAATAAGCTACGCAATGGCTACATCCGCACACTTCGATCTTCCTCTCGTCCCACGACGCTCCACACAATCTTCACACAACCTACTTTTGACTACCCGTAAGTCAACGTCTCGCCACCAACGGCCCATACGTACTACACCATCCATCATCAACCCATGGCAGCGCACGAGTCCCCGCACGGGCTCGAGCTGCTCACGCCACCGCCAGTCGCTTCGCCTCCTTCTACCCGCGTCGGCCTCACTGCTGCCACCCTCGTGTCCTCGTCGGACGGTCGCTACGTCTTCCAACGTCAGGGCCCAGTCGTGCGCGTGCTACAAGGGACAAGTGGTCGCGTGTTGCACGAATGTGCCCGTCCCCACAACCTCAGTCCCGTCTCTGCTATTGCTCCCCACCCGCTGAACGCTTTGCAACTCGTGGCCAGTTACGAAGATGGCTACATTTTAATTTGGGATTTTGTCGCCCAAACGATACACCTGGCCACCGATAAGGTCGGTGTACCCATTTTATGGATGGCTACAAGTCGATCAAGCCCGTCACACGTGGTGATTGTCGTCAAAAGTCCGACGCGTCGATGGCGCTGCATGGCATTCGACCTCGAGCACAAGGAACGGGGCCGCGTGTTTGTCGAGAGCGATACAGCGTTCCAGACAGCAGCTCTCCAGAGCTACAGCTCGTCTCCAAGCGAAGCACATGCGGCCCAAAATACTGGAGACTATCTCGTCCTTGCTGCTGGACGCAGCATTTTTACGGGATGGCTACATTATGAACCAAGTTCCACTGCACTCGTGACGCAGCAGTTTCAACACGTGCGGGACGTGACGTGCATTGCCGTGAGTCCAGTGCACGTGGAGTTTTCCATTGGGGACCGAGAGGGCCAGATGTTTCGCTACGATCATCACGCGCTGCGAGCCAAACGGTCTGCTGCTAAACTGCATTGGCATTCCCATGCCGTACACTGTCTGCAGTACTCGAGTGATGGCCAGCACTTGCTCTCGGGGGGAGAAGAGTGTGTCTTGGTGACGTGGCAATTGGAAACAGGTCGACGGTCGTATTTGCCACGTCTGCCAGCTTCAGTGGAAGTTATTGCACCCAAGAAGGAAGGAGGAGTGTACGTAGTCGGTCTTGCAGATAACGTGGTGTTCCAGTACAACCCTGTGACTCGAGAACAGGAGTGGGAAGCGCGTGGATTGGCTCGTGCTGGTGGCGCGGCTGTCGATTCGCTCCCAATGCGCCAGTTGGCAGTGGACCCGATCTCGAAGGCGCTGGTGATCAATGGCTCGTTGGGCGCTGGCGTCTTGCAGTTCTACGAACCATTTGCTGATCGTGTGTTGCAGACGCTGGTGCTCTCGGAGCGTAACCAAGTCACACGCACGGACGACGAAGTCATGCCGACATTAGTGGCGTCGCACTCACGCTTTAGCTTTCGTGGTAGTGACCTCGTGACGCTTCATGCGCCGACTACTGTACAAGATGGCAATGAGCAGGCTCTGCGCTTTTGGACGCGTCGTGTGGACGGGTCGTTTTTTGTCAATACGTCGGTGGATGCGCCTCATGGTCGTGCTCGTGTTACGAGAGTGGCATTTTCTCCTACTGCTGAAGGCGACTGCGTCGTGACTGCTGATGATCACGGTGATTTTAAAGTGTGGCAGAAGGTGGCGGCCGAGGCTGGTGGTGTCTCGTGGCTTTGTCAATCTGTTGTTCGCTTCCGCGATGAACCAGTGACGGCCGTGAGTTTCGCGCGTGATGGCTCGTTACTTGCCGTGGCTTATGGCAATAAGCTCACTTTGTGGGATATTGCTACGCACTCTTTGCGCCGTGTGCTTTGTTCGTCTGATGGTCAGAAGATCAATCAGGTCATGTTTCCCGGCGTCAATTCGCCGTATGTAGTTGTGATGACGCAAACCCAAGTGCAAGTATGGAGCCTGTTGTCGTTGTCGCTTTCGTGGCGCTACAATGTACCAAAGAGTACTGCTGTGGCCGAGGAGGCACTGCATGAGCGCTTTTTGATCTGGATGCCTGTGGATGAGAAGAAAAGCAAGAAAACGTTGCTACTTGTGTTTGATCCGCAAACTCCGGTGCCAACGTGTATACGTGTCGTGGATTTCGGCAGTAAGGTATGGACCGCTGGCTTCCACCCGGGCACTGGTGACATTGTTCTTGTTGATGACAAGACCGGTATCTGGAGACTAAATGGATTCGACGCCAACTCTGTGGATGCAAAGCGCCGCAAACAGGCCTACATTGCTGCCGTTGCAGCAAGTGTCGGGTCGAAGAATCGCGAAGAGGATGTGAAGGTCTTGAGCACGATGTATGACAAGTCATCCAGCAGCAGTCACCTGTCACTGAAGAAGACTGACGAGAGCGAATACGGCACGGCTACGAATGGATCTGCGTCTGATAGTCTCTTTGATGCACCGGCACACGTCCTGCCGTCAATGACGGCGCTGTACCGACCTTTTATGGATACGATGCTGCCAAAGCCGCATCGGGTTGACAAGAGTGGCGACGCTGCCAAGAATGTCAACGGTGAAGCAGCCAGCACTCAGAAGAAGAAAAACAAACGGCACAAGAAGCAGCTAGCAGCACAACAACAGCAAGAGAGTTTGGTAGATAATTCGATCCACGGAGACGCAGAGCAGCGCAAGCGCATCAAGCTTCTGGTAGAGAAAGAGTTGGCGAATCCCGAGCTGCAACAACAGACGTACTCGAAGCTACTGGAGACTTTTCGCAAGAGTAAGGCGCGTCAAGCATAATGCTTTTCTGCAGTGTCAAGTGTAATAGATCTGTTACATGCTCTAGGTTCTTGCTGTGTCGCTCGTGCGTTTGACGGTGCTCGTGTCTAGCGTATATACGACTGGGAGCCGCGATTTGGGGTCTGAAGTACCAGCATGCGATGAACGACAGCATTCATAGCATATCCTGCATGCTGAGCCGAACGGTACTCTCAGCTCGGGACAAAAGAGCTATTGCGGCAGTTTTCACGATACAGGATGACCACCATGTTCTCACTGGCCACGTCAAACTCGGCAGTGGATGGATCGATATCAACTGCCAACGCAGCAACGTGCAGTTCATATACCTGCTGGCTGCGATCTGAAAAGCGCAGGCGCAGCGAATTGTTGGATGGAAATGCAAGTTTCACGCTTGAGGACTCAATGTCAGCTACGCCAACGATGTACGACAAACACTGCGACGTAACGTGAGTCTCAAACAACGGCTTGATCGGGTTCTTGGCTGCTAGAGCCGATTTAATTGGCATTGTTGACGACGACGTCGTAGTTTTAGCACATGTGTTCGCTGTATAAACCGCTTCGTCGTTGCTGCAGTTCTCAAGTGGTGGCGGTGTCGAATCCACATTCTCAAGTGTGAATATGGTGGACTTGTTTGCTGCAGCTGACGGCGATTGAGTGGTTGAAGCCAAAGAGCTATGATTTTGAATGTTAGGCGGTTCACGTGCATTCAAGTGTGAGTTGTTTGCGGCATCCGACGCCGTCTCTTGGAGCTTGCACAACGTCCGCTCGCCATTCTGCTTTTGCTTCGATGCGAGATCTTCACTGCTTGTTAGTTCGCCTTGCGATGACAGCTTTTCCTCGTTCACCGCTTCAGTCTCTTCATCTTCGTCATCATCCTGAATGACGAGCGAGACAAAGAGTGGCTTCGGCAGTTGTGGAGGCTGCACATGTAAAGTGACGACCAGTTTGTGTCGTTTGCGATCAAACCTGGCGCTGCTTTTGCTCTCGATTACTGGAAAAGGTAGCGCCAGCTCCATCGATTCGTAGTCAGGCGATACACCAGGACTCGCTGACAACCGCATCATCTGCTCACTCACATCCAGGTCTAGCCCTTTGGCACTTGTAGCAGCAGGTAAACTCACCTCGACCACCAACTCTTTCGGACGATCACAATTGATCGGAACTTGGCAGCCTGAATCCACTTGCACATTCTGAGAAGCCTCGCAGCGTCCATGGTAAATAAATTGGTGCTCCATCTTCAGCTTCACTTTCTCAGACTGGTCTTTCACACTTGAATCCGCATTTTCTACTTCCTCTTCATACAAAGAAGTGCTCTCCATATGCTCCCCACGCATCAATTTGTCCTCTCCGACGTCGTCATCAGCACAATCACCCGCCATCTTCGTTAAATGAAGAGACGGCACAGCACCCTCATTGTCAAGACCAAAAGTGGCCTTTGACTCCAGATCATCACCTACTTTCCCGTGTGTGCTTAGTATTGACACGTTACATTCTTCATTCAAACACATTGGTTTCGGATAACCCGACTTGTACAATACACCTCGAAGAACATGGTAGTTCCTATCCAATGCTGCAGCAGAATTACATCTCGATTGTTGCAGTATCAGCTCCACGGCATCCAGGAACTTACGTACAATTATTGGTCCTCTCCCATCCAGTCCATCAGCTGCCACATCAGCTACTTCAGGATGAACACAGACGTCAAATGTCGGAATTCCAGCACCTCGTTGATCCTTCTCACGTCTTTCAGGTCCCACACAATACGAAAAGCGCCATGAAAAAGTACTCGCCTGAGAAGCACCGACCTCGTTTTTTCTCGATAGTGGCTGCAGTTGAGCACTCGTACAGATATTGACAAAAACCTTGTGCTGGACGTCCCACTTGGTTTTTAGCACAAATGCTGCTGTAGGGGTTACCATATTCTTGCTACGAGGACCTTTGTCTTCAGTTTTCGTGTCGAGGGGAGCAAGGAGCTGCTCATTTGCACTACGAAGTGAGATATCCTGAATGTACCCATTTAGAGTCGATCTAAAGTCGGTCTCCTTTAAATCGGAGAAAACCGTTTGCGCCGAACTTGCCGCTCGGGTGATTGGTGCTGCATTAGTAGCAGCATCTCTGATGTTGTCTACCTTCTTCTTGGTTGTCGCTCGAGTCTTGATCTCCATTGTTCAGGTCGTGCTGGTCCATGGAGAAGCAGAAGATTAAGACTGGAAGGTGGTCGTCCAGTCGTTTGTCGCCATGCGTTTCTAACGCGAAATGAGCTGCTCAACATCGTGTACTAATCTACGCAGTGTATTAGATTCCACGAGTTATACAGAAATGCAAGATGAGGTCGAGGTCAGAGTGGAAGGGTGATGTGTAGTCATTTACAGACGTCGACGGACGGACTCGTCGTGGACTCGACAACGGCGTAAACAGACATGACTCTTTCATTCTGACCGTCTTCATTATTGTGTTGATCCATTATCATCCGTCGATCATGAATCGATACAGAGGGGAGTAAGAGTCGAGAAGGCAGCAAGGATAGCACCCGCATACACGTGATGGTGACTTTGAGGAGAAATCGAGTCGGAGAGTGTGCCTGCCTCCAGTCGCGGTCTTGCATACACGTAGTGCACCATCCACAAGCAACAAGGAGAAAGAAGACTTGCATGCAGCATCTCCAGTATCCCGTCCAACATCCTTCCATCTTCTTCTTCTTCCCTTCTTTATTCCCCACTCGCATTGCGCTTGACCACATAGACCTGTTCGTCATCCAGCGTCACCACAAAGTCGTACGTCGGGAAGTTGACTAGCAATCACAGACATAAATACACACACATGGAAACAGCGGTTGAAACCCTTTCATCACTTTGTAAACAACGTCTAAAGGAGCAATTATCCCGTGAAATAACAAACCAAACATCAACACCGTTGTCGTACTTATCATGCGCTGCAGCTCCTCCTTCTGACTCGTGTCCAGCACACAACTCGCGTCTTGCAACATCGAGTAGATGGTCTCAGCTACAATCTCTCCAGAGGTGCCACAGAGATCTCCAGTAGCTGAGAGGACTTGGCCTGAGACGTTAAGGACTACCGTGCCCGTCTGATTGTGAACCGTTCTTAAGGCGCCAGCGTCCTGTGTGAAGCGTACAAAGAGAAAGAAAAGATGAGAATTGCACAAAGTGTAGAGGAGATAATGGTGAATGCATGTGCGCTGAGACAAAGAAGATCAATGCATTATTGACGGAGATAGAGAGCCAAGAGTAGGACGCATTCGAGGCCATCACGCACCATGTCACAAATGAATTCGAAAGTGGAAAGATGGTGTGGCGTGCGGTACACAATCGCTGGCAGCTAAGAGATGGCTACATGGAAGATGGCTTCATGGAAGGTGGCTACATGGAAGGTGGCTGACTTTACTTGAACTAGTGGAATTTGATGGGCACGATCGAGTATGAATTGCACATATAATAATGATGCAGAAATGGATTTGTGGTCGATAGGTGGTAGACGATGCTTTGTTCATGTTGTAAGTTGTTTTGTTTTCCAGACTAGAGGGACGGGAGGGCGCAAGTCACCATTTGTTGAAGTCATGTTTGGTGCACGAATGGACGGATCGACAAGAGGCGATAACGTTGCGAGACATCGAGTAGCGAGCATCCCACATCTCGACTGTTGAATGAAGTTGAGTGGCGAGGTTGGTCACATTGGCTTTACGCGAAATCCACTGACAACTAGAACACAATGGTGACGAACAAACGATGCGCAATGATTCACGCGGTTCGTCGTACTAGCCATGTAATTTATAAGCCAAGCAGCTGAAGAGCTTGACGACTGTAGCGGACCAAGCCATAAAACGAACGAGCTTTTTCCGGTAAGCTTGTACTAAACATGTCATCTGTCAGTGTGAAATACCAACAGACTCCACTTGAGCGATGACTTGTTGCTACTCGCTGACAACTGCCCCAATCAGTTAAAGAGGTGGTGCTTGTCACGCTTGCGCTTACGCATTTTCTTCTTAGCCACGTCAATATTGCGGTCTTGCCACTTGCTCTTACTTAGTTTTACAGGTCGATTGCCAATATACTTGCCGTTCATTTCACGCAAGGCCTTGGCACAGTCGAACGGGTCTGTAAAACTCACAAAGCCATAGCCGCGCGACTTGTGCGTCAACTTGTCGCGCACGACACGAGCACGCTGAAATGACGCGTACTTTGCAAAACTGTGTGCAAGGAGCTCGTCACTCACTTCATTCCCAAGATCGCCACAAAAGAGACGAAAGTCATTGTCCGGCCACTCTTCAAGAGTCAAATCTTCCCACACTTTGCCACCAGCAAGCCGTAAATGCCGCTTCTGTTTTCTACCAGCTCCTTTTCCGTATCCTACTCCATCTTTTCCTTGTGATCCTGCCGCAATACTTGCTGCCGTTCTCTTGGGATCGTACTCGTACACACTCTGCTGTCGATTCATCATCTCCTGCTCTTCTATCGACAGCACGTGTCCTGTGTCCATATCTACACGGGGAAGAATTGGTCGATAGCCCGCCACAGACGCTGCCCCTGATGCATTGGAAGCAACAATCGCTGCGTGTTCTCCCGTTGTGCCAACTGGGAAGCCACTCAGAGCTCCTCGATGCGCTGCCACATCTTCTAGCGTATTGAGCATTCTTGGACGTCCATCAGATTCTTCTGCACATTTTCCATCTAGTAGTTCAGTTGACATGACTTTTTTAACTGGTGCAGGACGTGGTGGAGCCATATAAATCTTGGGTTTCGCCATTACACCCACACGTTTTCGTAAAGGTGTCACTCCACCTTCTTCAGTCTTGCTTTTCTTCAAAAATAATTCTGTATCGTTATTAAGATTCTTTTCTTCATGTTGTGTATCGTCTATAGGCTTTACTTGCTTCTCTAGTGACTGAATCTCTGCTTCAAAGCGTGCAAACTCGTCGTCCAGGTCCGGCATTTTTCGGCTCAGTTAACATATCGCTCTTGTTCACTGGATGATAATCGAAATAATATGATTTGCTGAAATTAAATGTAGAATATTGTGTATATACTGTTTTGATTGGGTATTAGTATGTATCCAAGACTTGAGTGGAAGCGACGTGATCGCATTTGTCGCATAATATAGTCAAGTAAAAATGGATGACATGGAGTATGACGATGCCAATCACCGTGACATGGAAGAAGAAGTTCCTGAAGAGGAATTAGAGGAGGAAATACCGACTGAGGATTTGTATGAAGGGGGAGATGATACTGTTGATGAAGATAATAAGCTGCAAATTCTTGATGAATCGCATAAACAGCCTAATGCAAACCGCATTACGACGCGGTACATGACTAAGTACGAACGCGCGCGCGTATTAGGGACAAGGGCGTTGCAGATCTCGATGAATGCGCCAGTGATGGTGGATATTGAAGGCGAGACGGACCCGCTCAAGATTGCCATGAAGGAGCTGCGGGAACGCAAGATTCCCATAATTATTCGGCGCTATCTCCCTGACAATTCGTTCGAGGACTGGAGCATTGATGAGCTGATCATTGAGTAGAAAAGAGGGAGGTGGGGATAGGAAGGAGCGAGAGAGAGGGAAGGGAGGGGGGGAGGAAAGGTGGGAGAAGGGAGCTGGTTATACACGTACGTATCTTTGCTTGTATGTACGTACGTACATTTCTACAATCGCGACAGGGTTCATTTTCTGATACGGTCTTGATGAGGGATATGCTGGTTGCAAAGAGCTGTGCCGTGTGTGTACTTGCTCGCAGGGTGAACGAGACGACTCGTTACTTGCTTGTTGTGCTGGCAAGTAGCGTGCAAGACGACTCGCTTGTGGTTCCTGAGATAACGAGCGTAGTTACATGCTGTAAAAAATCGCGAGTTGCTCATGTTGAGGCTAAATGCGCGTGCTTCATCCGTCTGAACCTTTGTCAAGATCTCGGCAGTCAGATGAAGACTCTGGCCAACAAGGAACTGACAGGTTCACGTAGGTCAAAATGGAAACTACGCGTTACAATACAAAAGAGCGTATGATGTGCTAGAACTTTGAGCTGCACCAATCGCCTTGGTAGTGCATGTCTTTAGCATGTCAAATGTAGCCATATCGTGTGTTGCGTATTGTACACAAATCAGTGCATTCTCGCGAGGCACCACACTGTCGTACTTTCAGCCAATGAACAGCTGCGATCTATTCTCGCAACGTATGAATGGCTACCGTCCTCCATGACCTCGTCCAAGTCTATGAGTGTGACGGTAACGTCGCCTTCTTACGCGATTCGCATCGTTTCCGCTTCTTCATCTACAGCGATAGCAGCTCGCGAGTAACTATCGAAAAAATCACTCGTGCGAGTCAAAATGCCGTTGCAAAACTCAATCGAAGAGCTCTTGATCCATTAAATTCCATTGAGGAAGACGTGGATAATGAAGATGAATGTATTGGAGAAGGAACAGATGAAGACGAAGAGGTGGAAGGAGATATCAATGGGTCTCTTGTTATACCTCATGATGAGGTACAGGATCTGGTCGAAGTCGACAGTGGAGAGGATTTCCAGCAAATTAAAGTGGTAGCTTATGACGGACATGCAATCGTGGAAACTATGGACAGCAGTCAGCAATCAGGTCATGTTGTGCATTTTAAGCTTGTGTTATGGAAGCGACAAGATCAAGGCACGTGGTGGTCGCAGACCCTTCAGTGCAGTGCTCACCTCTCGACTCAGCGAGGTTTATCAGGGCAGTTTGTGAATATCCGAGGAAATGGAGAAGCTGCTCAGGACTTTGATTTCCACTTCGTTAGTCATCGATTCGAGTGGGTGGACAAGTCAATGTACCCGTTGACGCCTGGAAGGTATACACTGCAAGGCGTTACAATTGCGGAGAACGCATTCGTGTACGAGTGTGTTGTGGAACTAAATCTCGAAGACAACGGTGTGGTCTCAGGCACGTCTCGAGAGCTACCCTTTGCTCAAGAATGCTCACTTGGTGGCAGGTGGACACGTAGCACGTTAAACTACTTGCTGCAGTACGAGATGCACCGTACTCAGCACACGTACGTGTACTACGGAACTTCGTCGCTTTCAGGAGTTTACGGGACATGGCAAAATTCCATGATGCCGGTGCTAGCTACCAGCGTTGACACCCCGACCCTTCAAGCTGAGCGTGGCATTCTCGCATTTCATCTCGTGGATGCTGTCCGGGTATGGAGTGAAGCGTATCACAGCGATTATCCTGCATCGTTCCAAGAGTGCGTCAAGCTGCTGCTACTTGCATCGTATCGTGGTCATTTCGTGCCGACGCATTTGATCCGCTCTATTGTGGTCTATTGTGGGTACAACTGGTTTCCCATCGATTTACACGAAGTGCTGAGCCGAAACCGCACAAAACGATAGCAAATGATCTCATGTAGCCAATTGCAATAGTCGATACATCGCGTACGTTCCCAATTGCTATTCTTCCCATCCATTCGTCTACATAAATAACTGTAAAAAATCATCGCGAAACAACGCGTTCATACAATCTCCGATACAATCTCGACACGTCATATCGACAGGTCATATCGACATCGCCTCGCATCACTTTTGATTGTCGTCATAACGAAACTAAACTAACCTTTACCAAAGCAGCACCTCAACTTTAGATGTCGTCTATCCTCTCAACCCCACCACCGCTTGAACGTCTATACGACGGCTATCTCGGTGGATCTCTCGCTGGAAAACAAAGTCGCATCTACTTGACAATAGCAACTACCGGACTCGTGCACGGCGTTGTATACCAGGACGTTCAAGACGAAGCCATCAACACGAATGAAGCTCACAATAACAATAACAATAATTGTTGTCCGGCCGTCTCGGCCCATCGTTCCCGCCACAACCCGCGAGTTCAAGTTGAACCCGCGGGTTCACCCAATGGACAAGTCGCGGCTTACGTGATCGGAACAGCTCAAATCAGATGGTCAGCAGAACAAGAGCCAGTCGCTCTTGAGACTTTCGAAGATCGAGTCAGCACCAAAGCGGCCCATTATTGCTGTCTCTTGGACGTGACAAAGGGACGACCTCAGCAGCCCCAGCCCCACCACGTCGATCGTCGTCACAACCGCGCGCTCACTTGTCATTTGCACGTTCCCGTCATGGCCGATGCACCAGCTGTGGGGACGTGGCAGAGGCCGAGGAATCGCCGGTGGCAACAGGATTACGACCATCAGTTGCGACCGTCAACTTGTTGTACGCATTTCGAGTCCAGCGTGACAGTAGGAGATCCGCTACCATTATTGTCGACCGAATCGACGTTTCACCTCGAGCCAGTGCAGTGTCAACAGGAAGCTGCAAAGATGAGGAGGACGAACAGTGTGACGATGAGGCTGGCTAGTCCTTCTTCGGTGCTGATGCCGCTACGTCCGGGCAAGTACGAGTTTAAAGGGTTTACGACATCGGTGGCAATGACAAGGGAGACGCGTACGAGACATGGACGACGAAGTCGAGATCGAAGGGGTGCACCTCAAGTGACGACTGTTGCTAAAGACGACTGTCTTGTGACGTTGTACTTGCAAGCTGATGGTACCGTGCACGGCACTTCGTGTGAAGTCGCGCAGCCTCAAGTGTGTCAATTGAAAGGACGCTGGAAAGCGAATCGGATTGCGTACGTCCTCGAGTACCGAGTGCGTGAAGCAGTGGGGCATTTCCGCTATTCCGGAGCTATTGTGATGAAGAATCGCGAGACACTCAGTGGTCGATGGTATAATGTCGACAAAGGGCATGCTGATGGATACGAGGGCGGTCGAGGCAAGTTTGAGCTCGAACTGGTGCGTGTCGGGTTCATGCCGATTGCAGTCAAGCGCGAAAAAATTGAGAACAGCAGTGATGCGAGTCCGTCGGAGATTGTTTTGCAGCAAGAACGAGCGCGATTTGCCAACTACGAAGTTGGCAGCAGTCGTGACATGGTGATCGACCTTTGCGACGATGACAATACGATCCAGGCATTCACGTCAGGCGAGTACGAGTTATCTGGCTGTGCTATCGATGCGGATGGCTACGAATATGCGTTCGGTCTGAAGCTCCAGTTGTGTCCTAATGGAAAGCTGCTTGGTCACAGCACCGAGCATGTTTTTCAGCAAACGAGTCCGGTATCTGGTCATTGGGGACCTACGCAGATCGTGTACGATCAGCAGTACGTAGTAAAGGGGGAAGTGGGGCTGTACACGTATACCGCAAACATGAGCTGCAACGGTGTCTTGGTCGAAGGCACGTGGATTAATGCTGAGACCGAGTTGGCCTTGACTCCCAGTGAGCATGGTACGTTTGGCCTCATCGTGCTGCACTCGACTCGACGGTGGAGTACGTCGAGTCATTCCCGTTACCCGCCACGATTTCGTCAAGGCGTGTTGACCACTCTGCTAACATCAGCGAAGCGGGACATTCTTCCGGGAGCGATTTGGGCGCATGTGTTTTCGTTTTGCAACGAATCGTGGTTCACCGCGCCTGCGAAACCAGCACAAGCACCATCTCAAGTACTCACGCCTTGTAACATGCTGACTCGCAACCTGAAGGACGAGCCACCTTGCAAAAGGTGCAAACACGCAGCATAAGTGTTGAGTCGAGCTGGTTGTTGCTGGAGATGACAGGGATGGTGGATGCACGTCTGGTACCCGATTTGAAAAGCTGTACAACTTCAAGCAAAAACGACACTCGATCGTGGCGTAAAACGTCGTGTTATCGCGCAACCATAATGGAGACAAAGGCGACAAAAGATATTGAAAATCTTTGCTGCGTGCTGCATACACTAAGAGACGAGGAGCTCCTCCTTCATCCGATCGTGTATTCGTCTTCTCAGATTCCCTCGTTCCCAAATTTAGCCAAAGTCTCTCCTGCCTCTCGATCCAAAGGCTCTTCTTTAACCCATAAAGTTGAACACGACGAGGAAGAGAATGATGTTGCAAAAGAGGTAGTCGGCATACGCACGTTGTTCCGTGCGGTCCTGAAAGTTGTTGGCCGGGTTGACCTGCATACGCAGCGAGACTGTAGATTGTCACGTATAACAAATACACACACACACCCATACCAAAAAAAAAGCGTAAAAACGTGTAAAAAAACAACCATGTCGATAAAAACGTTTCAACACCAAAAGAAAACCGAATCCGTCAGCACGTGTCTGTCGTGGCGTTATAATTAACAAGAGGGAATGAGAGATACATAACAATGGACGCACCGGCCAGCACAAAGACGCCGACAGTGCACACGAAGCCAGCAAGGAACGAGTTGAACGGGAACGTGCCCACCAATAAACAGTAGAGAAACTGCAGCACGCCCGTTGCTAGCACGTAGGCGAGAAACCCATCAATGAGCTTGAGCTTCTTGGGCGTGGTCTTGTCGTACGTGGCGCAAAAGTCGCGGACAATGGACCTGACGTCTGCACTAAATTTCGTCCTGGAGGAGGTCGCCATGATTCACTGGTTCTTGCACTGCACTTGTCTTCTCAATTGACGTTAGATAGCGGAAGTGTTGAGTGAGTAAGAGTGACTAGGAGAGATTCAGATAGAAACTCGATTGATGACGAGACGGACCTTTAGTTGGCTCGTTTTCGACGAAAAGAGCGACTGATAGACGCGTGGAGGTTGTGCCGTAGCTCTTCGTGGTCTCGCGTTCTGATTGGTCGAAGGTTTTCGAGATTACTATTCAGAGGTTGTGACGGCTCAACAAGGGAAGACCAAGTCATCGCCAATTGGTCTCAGTGTATACTGCTGATTCACACACCTGCCAACTACGCCATCGTCTTGTCACCAATTGTGCAATCCAGTCGGGCGTTTTTCTTGGCTGCTTAAATCTTCTCCGTGAGTTCAGGCACGGCCTTGAAGAGATCGTCCACGAGTCCGTAGTCGGCCACCTGGAAAATCGGCGCCTCCTCGTCCTTATTGATCGCCACAATGGTCTTGCTGTCCTTCATGCCAGCCAAGTGCTGAATGGCACCCGAGATACCAGCAGCCACGTATAGATCCGGAGCCACGACTTTGCCAGTCTGGCCGACCTGTAGCTCGTTGGGTACAAAGCCAGCGTCGACCGCAGCACGGGACGCTCCTACTGCACCACCTAGTTTATCAGCCAGCTTGTACAGCATCTCAAAGTTCTCGCCGTTCTTCAACCCACGTCCACCCGAAACAATCACGCGGGCCGAGGCGAGATCCGGCCGTTCCGACTTGTTCACTTCCTCCGAGACAAAGCTCGTCTTGCCGACAGTTGGTGCTTCCATCGCAGGACTTACCGACGCATTGCCACCCTCACTTGCAGCTTTCTCAAAGCCTGTTGGACGCACGGTCATGAGCTTCACGGCATCCTTGCTCTTGATCTGAGCAATGGCGTTGCCAGCATAAGTAGGACGAATGAACGTGTCCTTGTCAATCACGGCCAGAATGTCCGAGATTGGAGCCACGTCCAGCTTTGCACCGGCTCGAGGGAGATAGTTCTTGGAAGCATTCGAGCTTGGAGCCAGAATATGGGAGTAGTTCTCTGCTTTTTGAGCAGCAACCAGGAGCTCCGCCACCTCTTCAGCCAGGTAGTGGTCGTACTTGGGGTCACCAGCATGAAGCACGTTCTTGACACCTGGGATCTTAGCAGCAGCTTCGGCAGCTGGACCAGCCTGGCTGCCCAGTACTAAGAGCGTAATGTCACCCCCGATTTGGGACGCAGCAGTGACGGTAGACAGTGTCCCGCTTGAAACCTGCGACTGGTTATGCTCAGCAACCACTAAGGTGGACATGAACAAGCTGCGAGGGGTTTGCTTGGTAGCGTGGCGGGTAACCTGATAACAGTACAGAGGGAAAGATAGATAGAGAGAGAGATGGGTACAGACAATGAGTGATCAGTGTCACTGGCGAAAATGAGATTGCGGACGCTGTAGACGCCCAATGATAAAACTACGAGGGGGAATGAATAGCTGAGACACAGACGCATCAGATGGTATGCCGCCGGTGGGCCAACATGCAGTAGGACACGAGATATGAAGCTTTTACCAGTCGAGCGAGCATGGTAGACGATAAAGCCAGCAGATCTTGTAATGACCGAGGAGTGGTATCATCTTGATTGGTGGTTTTGAAAGTACATACTGATGGGTACAGCCGAGTTTGACGGGGGAGAAGACATTGCGCCAATCAAAAACGTTGGACGAATCGCCGCAATCAGATCAACAATACACTCACCCCTTTCTATGAGGAACTCTATTTTAGAGATACCCTCTTTTATTAGAGTCACAGTGTCGCCGAACGTTTCAAACTAAATAGGAATTTGTAAACCGTTCTTTCAATCAGCGAGCAAGATAGAAGACACGAAAAACACTCGACCATGTGAGTGAAAATCCTCTTTATATGACTCACTACCTCAACTTCTGCTGCTTAGAAGTAACATGTGGCATGCGATGTGACAGTTGTTCTAGCCAACGATTTGGTAGAACTTTGAGCCGATTCGGGAACGGCATAGGACCTCGGACGTGACCTAAGGAAGAGACGTGAAGCATGACATAGTAGGCGGGCTTGTGACGCACTATTTGCTGATGAAGTCTGGACGACAAATGCAGCAGACGTAAATCAATAGTTATGCAAGGCGATTGATAGGGAGAAGTTATCTTCAGTTTCTATAGCTGCATCACTACGCCACTGATCCGACACGTCCACCCAGGAAAACTTACCTCTTGTCGACATCAAGCCCGTGCAACCAATAAGTTCAACGAAGCGAGCATGTCTCTCGCTAGAGTAGAAGTACAAGTCTTTCAACACTGCAAGGAACGCATAAATATTGTTAAAACGAAGTGTAGACGTTTATAAGCATTCAGTTGTAGCACAGCACAAGTAAACTAACGGTGCATCGATTCATGGCCATAAAAGGAAATCGAGTTTGAGGGATGTACCTAAATTTGAATAAGATTTGACGTGTGAAGCATCCTGAGTTCTCGAGGGAGCTGCTGCCATTCTTTCACGGAGTGATAGTGACGGGCTATCCGAAGATCTGCATCTGAAGAAGCTGACCGACTGCGAAGGAGCCACGATATCGAATATCATCATCTCATATTTTCCAAAGGCTAGATGCAGAGTTTTAAAGAGAGGAACAACATTAAAAGCTGCGTGTTGACTGGCGAGGGTGAGAGCTTATGTACTAATGGAGTGCAAGCAGCAAAGCCTGGAACCTGGTCTTTGATAAAGAAGTATTTCCGAATGATGTCGTTGTCTTTAATGAGCCCAAATTACTTTACGACTTGCCACCGAACAAAATCCTCTGCAGTTCGAAACAATGGCGACCAGAGCGTAAAGGTAAGGATGACAGCTCTCTCTGCTACAGCTATAGTGGTCATAAAAATACAGAGCCCTTGATCATCGAAAAGTTCAACAATCAAGGTGCTTTAAGAGTGTAGATATCAAGAGGGGTGGCATCGTATACGCTGCAAGTTCAAACGCCTGCATGACTGGAATTATCTTTGACAAGTGGCTGCGCTAACTCAGTCTTTGAATGAATGGTCTCAAAGAACTGCTTCTTTTCTATAACGCTTTCGGTCACAAAGTCCGACGAGAACTTAACAAAGTCACTGTGGTCTTTTCCCGCCTTACATGACTTACACTATCCGACCGCTCGACGCAGTTACGCGTCAATATCATGATTTGTAAATGCGCACCTACATTATGGTAATAAACATCATTCGATGGTTAAACGCTTGCTGCAAGAAACTTCATATGCGATAGCGCATGGATCTGATTGAAGCAAACATGAATACAGACTCAATATCCTAGAAGCGATAGAGTTTGCAGCTGAGAGCTGGAACACTATCAGTGGGATACAATCGAAGTTTCTAGATCAAGAGTGAGATCATCGAAGCGCCACAGATTGCAAATTAGCGTGCAAAAATGGTATCAAAAGTCTAGCTTCACCTTCCAACAAGTCTGCTGCAATCTGGCTGATGTGATTAACATTCTAGGAGTAAGTGTTGGCGTGTAGGATTATGTCGTGATCAAGGACCACGAAAAGATCCATGAAGAAGAAGAAGAGGCCCTTATTCGAGCAGAAGTGGAGCCTGCGCAAGTTGAAAAGTGATGAAGATCAAGCGTCTGTCAGTGCAAAGTAAGCACATAAGTGCTGCCTGCTTTTGCGTTGTACTTCGTACGTTCATATAAAGACACGCGCATTGTTCCGTCCGATCTGGATACGATTTCATCGCGTTTTCGTAAGAAGTGGCACGTAGAGTGAAACAGCTCGGTATGAGAGACTTCATATCGTAAACAAACGTCACATTTCAATACAAATAGAGACATGTTCTGTAGCGTTACTTAAATGCCCAATTCTCAATTTTTATTCGTGATCAGATCATGCAACTGATTTCTTGCATATTCTCTAAAAGAGACTTTTAATAAGACACGCTGTAAAATTGGGCACAAAGTTGTCTCTTTTGAGAGGGGCGAGTGCAGTCATGTGAACGATGTATCCCATCTTGAATGTAGCCAACATCTATACCCTTGACTTCAACAGGTATAACATCTCACGCTCTTACTTGCCATTGTGTGCGTTGTTACCGACTGTGCAATTGTTCTGCTTTCCGTTTAGTGCACTGGCTGAGCCGTTACTATCGGCACGGGTGTAGCTCCTGCTCGCGGACTGTCTTGGTTCACATATGACGCCTGATTATCGCGGTTGTGTTCTTGTTGCCGTGCTGCATCATCTCGTGAATGTTCCTCGTTGTCCTTCTCCTTCCCTCCAAGCAACACAATAGCCAAGAAGGCGAGCATGGAGAGAAAGGACATGGCGACGCCCAGATACAGATTCCCACATTGCAAGAAGCGCCCATAATCCCATTGGCACTGCAAAGTTATCTTTGACAACAGTAACACGAGTGTCGCGACCGTGAGGCACACTAAGATCGTGAGATCCATTACTTTCTCACATACATGCACCGGGCGCACGCAAAGACGTAGCCACTCGACACAAATGAGGAAAATGAAGGCGTACACGAACGCCAAGAAGTTGATAATCCGCGCAAAGTCAAGCGCACCACTACTCACAATCACAGGAACCGTTTGACCTCCTGCAGTAGTGTGAGAGGTGAAACCCACCGTTTGGAGTGCAATGTAAGCGACCAGCGAGCTGCCAAACTGGACAAGACGAAGGAGGACACGGGTCCAGAACCGACAAACGCGACTGGTCCACGACCATTTGGAACCCATGTTTTAACTGCAGGTTCGACAGCAGAAGGTTTTCTTGGAAGTGACTACTGTCGAGCAGGAGTTCGGCCTTGGGACAGTGTTGACAGTTAACGAAAATACTGCAACTTATCGGCAAATTCCAGGAAAGAACGATTATTAAGCTGCATACTCGATAAAGATCCCATTTCTGTAAGAGATGTGTACAGATGAATGAACTACACTTGGTTATTGGTTTTCCAGTTATAAGTTACCACTTGATGGAGAAATATGGTAAGAATGGAGGTTCGCATACTCCGAATACAGCAAATTATTGTACAGCACAGTACGGGTGTCTAAAGGTCGAGGCAAAGGCAGCAAAGGCGGTCGGTCGATCTCGTAAGGAGGGACAAGTGCCCGATGTAATCTGTACGGACTCGAATTGAAGCAAGAACTCACGAAATGAAAGAAGTTGTTATTTCCATGCAGATAAATGGTCAAACCCAATGACCTTACGCTCGATCGTCTACGTCCAACGACCTCGAAATACTTACCACCGTCGAGTTTGCTATCCGGCATTACACTCGGTTGGATACATCTTTGGGGGTCGAGGCTCCAGTCGGCGTCGTCCCAGCGGTATATCCCCCAGCATTCGGGTGTCCACGTCCCATGGTCGCATTATCCGAGTCACTGCGTTCTCCGTCGTGAGCCCGAGGGCCCATGAAAGACTCACAGCAATTGACAAGAAACGACACGAAATATGCCAGTGACGCGAGGAACGTGAAGACCACGGCGGTCTTCAACTGGTTGCAGCGCAGCATATACCCGTATACCGAGCAGTTGGCCACGTAGTCCGAGACAACCAGCACGATGCCAGCAACCACGAGCATGGCAGCTAGTAGGAGGTCAATCAGCTGTTCCACATAGTGCGGAGTCGGACGCGAGTAAAATCGCATCACCTCCACCAGCAAAAGCAGGAACAAGCCCACCAACATGCCCGTGTACGTCACCAGGGTCGCATACGTCGCTGCTCGGCTTCCCAACATACTCGAATATCCATAGTACGAGGCCCCAACGAAAGCTCTCGACAGTGTCGCGAGTGCTACAAGCGACAGTGCAAACTGCAAGAAGCGGAGTAGGATCCGCGACCAACGCATTGTATCTCCACGTGCCATCTTCTAGTTTGCGTCTTCCAAGTAGTTGTAGTCGGGACTTCTTGGCTCTGTGGCGTGTTGAGGAATAAATGGCAAACGAGATAAGTCTTGCATTGGGACGAGGGTGGCGAGATCGGACCATCGGACCTCCCCGTTAGGATGATCCAACGGGTGCAAAGGCGATGGAAGATGACAAGAAGTCAACGGGATCTAGGGGACTAGTATTTGCGGTATCGTTGAGTTTACCCGGAAAAAGCGATCAGGTTGATGACTGTGGACATGCATGGTCAGATGCAGGTAGAAGAAGACTGGTAGTCACTGGAGTCTCGCTGCTTTACACGATGTTGACGAGACTGTGTTTGTCCAAACTGGACTTGAGCTCTCACCGGGTTCAGGCATTGATGGTCTCGACTTCTTGTCAACCTGTAGTTAACATCCAATGCTACAGAAGTTGCAGAGTAGTTCCCCGTTCAGCCACTGTGAATCAGATGTATCGCAACGGGTTCCATTGCTCATCCACAACTTCATAGACGACGCGTGTACTGATTCACTTCGCGTAGGAGCCATCGTTTGTACTTTTGTCATCCATCGATGCTAGAAAATCAATAGCTACTGAGCGAGCTCAGGGGTTTTGCATGAACCATAGTATCTGGTTCGACGACTTGTCCCGGGGACCACCACTGCTGTCGAGGGCTTCGCTTGTCATGCGCCTCTAGTTTTCGTTTAGGTGGACTGCATCCCGTTTTAATCGGAGATACTAGACTTGTCATGACTCGCGGTGACCGTGGCGGTCGTTCCAAGATACAAAGTCCGGAGGGCGTCGTCACTCTAACGGTATACGTGTTGCCACTGAAAGACGGTGAAAAAGTCTTGGACTGAGGTGTTGTCCACGTACTATGGTATCCATACGGAGCTGGTGACATGATGCCGCTCTCGGTGTCAAAATCAATGCACTCGTGTGGCTGCTTGACTGCCTTTCGCTCGAAAATGGAGGTGAGCGAGGTGAAGAAGCCGGTTGCGAGCTTGAAGATCAGTGCGATGGCTGCCGTGCTCACGACGATGCTCACGACGAAAGGGATGCTGATAGTAAGAGCTGTTTCCAGGGACATTGGATACCAAGGGCTTCAAAATGTGAATGAATTGACCGGAAGTGGTCGCTGTCACTTGCCGCATGCCAGTGATGCTGACACTAGTGCTCTTTTCTCCGTACGCACAGGATGCGTCGCTGGACTTTTTCAAGGGCTTTTCACCGTTTCAGTGCACGCTGGTAGTTGTGACGTTACCGACAGAGACTCGTCAAAAGCGTCGCCCCAATCTCTATGCATTGAGAACGAGACGCTTTCCTAACTGCAAGAAAGGAGCGTCTGTTTCGTCGGGAGGGCGAATGCAACGAAGGTTCATGTGGATTAAGTTCTTCCACCGAGCCCGTTTCCGTCACCATGATCAGCCAGCAGAATTGGTCGGTACTTTCGATGACATAGGGCACCGCGTTCATCGGTTATGTGTAGTATGTATAAGGAATGCTGAAGAATTGAGAACTTGGGATATGCACGAGAAGAGTGAGTTGGTAAGAAAGCGATTGCAGCAATGAAGTCGTAGAACTAGCTCAGCTATGTTGAACTAGATAGACACATGCCACGTGATAACAGCAGGGTAAAAAACTCACCATGTCGGTTTTCGGCTGGACCAACCTGGTTTACATGGGTTCATGAGCCAAGAACAACGGAGCTCTTCAATTAACAACGCGATGACAGGGAACTCGACGAATCTGGTCAGCTGCAACGTCAAGCACATGCTGACGTTGCAGTAACCATCAACTCCTTTGTTGCAGTCGCTGCATCCAGAAGCTGGTGGACTTTAAACCAGCGAGCGCACGCACTTTCGAGGTACTGAACTGTCCGTTTCATATTCAAGTGGACACTAGCGGGGGGGATCCACTCGTTTCTGCTGTCGCACTCGTGTACCCCTCTGTATTTTCCTCCGTCTTGAGCAGATTCCAGCTACAAGGCACGACTGACAACAACAACGGGGCAAGACCTTATCGTTGTGAACGTCGGCTCTTATTGCTACACCGATAAGGACGCAGTCGATCTCGTGGGTGATCCGTTCGCTCGGATCCCTCCCCTCTAAAGTCACCTAAAAGCCTCGATCACATATATCCAACACATCCATGCGCGCGTTGCGTATCGACTCTCTCACTCGCTCGGACCTCTATCCCACAAACAGCTGAGCGAAAACATCCAGCTGAGGTCTGTTCCTCCGTTGGACAAGGCCGCTGAACTAAACAATCGCAAAGTCAAGGCATCAACGTCACCTGGCAGCTAGTTCAACAAGCAATGCCACTCTGCCTCCTTGTTACCGACCAGCGTGGACTTTTATCCATGTACGGTCCCATCAAGAACATCAAGAATAGATTCCGTTCATGGCAAACGTTGTATTGTAGCAGTAGCAACCGACCTAAAACCCTCCTGTCTCCCTTTAATCTGCGACCACTAAGGTGTCCAACAGCTACAATCTCGAAAAGAATAGAGAAAACGGGCCATCGTCCTTCGCTCAATCCCCTCACCGGCTCTTAGACCCTCGATGATGTAAATCCCTCGTGTGGAACACCAAGAGGCGACAGCGTGCCCGACGTCGGGGTCGCGTGTTGGTGGTACGGCACGGGGTCTTCCACTTGCACGTCCGTCAGTCCATGAGACGGCTCACTCGGACTCAGGAGCGTCAGTGCAAGGGACAGGAGGAAGAAGAACATGGCGATAAAGGCAAAGACCGTCGCGGCTTTGAGGTTGTTGCAGTGCCAGCCAACCCCGCAATTGCTCGTATAGTCCGACGCGGCTAAACAGATGCCGGCAATCAGGAGCAAAAGCACGAGCAAGGCGTCCATGGCCTGCTCGACACGAAGAGCGGGACGCGAGACGAGGTGGAACACCTCCACGGCCACGACGTACCAGAGGGTATAGAGCATGCCAGTGTACCCCATGAGGAGCACAAACGTGCTCGAATGGGTGGCTCCCCCTCCGTAAAAGCCCGCAGCAGCAAAGGCGAGAGCCAATAGACTGCAGACAAACTGGACACCACGCAACCCTAAGCGCATGTACGCCATGTTGGTAGGAGACGTGACTACAAACTTGGCCATTGGAGGTCGTAGGGTTGGCGGTGGTGAGGGTGTGGGTGCGGTAGGGGACTGCGTGACGAGTGCACAGAAGGGACGAAGCAGTTGGACAGCGATGTGTGGCTAAGAGCGCAAATTCAAGAATGACGTTGGGCAAAAAGAGACTTTTGGCCAAGAGTGGGCATGATCTGTGACATGTGTGTTACACCGACGGAAGGCGGGAAGTGGGTGAGATTCATACAAACAGGAGGTCGACGTGAGGTTTTTTAAAAGACGGGAGAAAGAAAAGGCCAGCAAGTCGCTGGCGACGATAAGCGACTTATAGGGTGTAGGCAGTGGCGGCTGCCCTCCTCACTTAACGATTGGTACCTCGAGCTGGCTGCCTGGAACTCCCTTGCTTCATGTTAGAGATAACGAGCGTATTGCTATCGGTCGTTATCAAGGCAAGTTAAGTGGTCGTCGTCGTTTTTTTCCATGTAGTAATGACCGATGCATGTGAGACTGCCTCTATTGCATCACATGATCGTTGCGGGGTTGTGTTTGCCGTTTCATGCCGCATCTTCGCATCCAGCCAGTTCAGACATTCGTCCGTCCATTCGTGTCTGTGGCCAGCACGTGTGCTCACTCAACCTGGTGGGAGTCTAGACGTACCTAAAGGATCCGTTCTTCGTATTACTTTAAGACGATAGAGACTAGCAGTGTCCGGATAAAGCTGCTTCTGGCGTCACGCGATCCTTTTTTGACGTCTGCTTATACATGCACTTCTGGGTAAACTCCAGAGCTATGGTACTTGCTACCGCTTGAGCCGGTAGGGGCTGTCTCACGTGGGCCAAAACTAGGTATGGCCATCATTCACATCAGGGAGATCTCGCGGAATCATTCAAACGTGCCGTTATGGCAGACGGATCTTCTGGAGAGGTGCCAGAGCTATCGATAGAAAGCGGGGAGGTACATAGGTTCATTCATGGTAGTTCAGATGGAATAAATTGTGAGCACAGTTGACGGCACATTTGATCATGAAAGGACAAAACGTGTGCTTTTAGTGCTCGCGTTCCTATGCGCAAATCTGATAAAACTGCAGCGGACAAAGCGAACAGCAAGCTGCTCTCGCGCTGCAATTCAGTATCATTGCTCGTCTTGGACACTCCGCATCTACACATGCAACAGAGCAATATATAGGATGTAAGGAGCTGATCTAGGTCCGTGGGGGTAGACGCCCCCTCGTTCCACTCTCATCAGCGCCTGAACAATAACAGACCGAGCTCAAAACGAGCCCAGTCGCCATCAAGCATTCCTTTCCCACGTCTGTAACAGAGCTAGCGCTACGGAGAAGAGCAAGTAAACTCCTGACATAGAACGTGGAGGTCGTGGCGCTTACTGACTGTCGACGACTAGTACTCGACGTTGACCGTTGCTGTCGTTTTCTAAAATGCCACTTTTGACACAGTGACTGAGAAATAGACGGCCTAAAATGACTGGCGAGCACGCTTTTGCCATAAATAGCGACACCAAAAGTCAAAAGCCTCTGTAATCGAATACCGATATCACGGAATTGTACCAGCGCACGGTCGCCGCTATTCGATCAAGACAGTCGGATGTACACTCTGTGTCGTCATGGGGCCATCCGTGCCACCCAAAGAGCTTCTTTTTTGAATGTCATGACGATACATCCATCTATGAAGTGTCGCTTACTCGCAATCAGATTTAGAAGCTCGAAAGAGTCCACCAAACCTCTTGGATTGAAAGATGGTGTGAACATTGCGTCAGGTCTGTCGCCTTTTATGCAGATGTTGACGGCCTACATGGTCCTAAGTATCTCAGCTATGGGCGTAATTGCTCGATACAAGAGCCGCGATGCTACGCAGGACGAGGTTGGTAACGGCTTTAGAAATCGAAATCTCTAACAAACTTAACGATCAGTGACACAACGTGACCACAGTTACTGAAGTTTTGTTGCTCATGTCATATGTTGCTATTGACAGAATGTGCGTATTTTCAACATGGCTAAACGGGCTGTGGTCAAGGATCGACGTGTGTTTGAGATCGTGGGATACCCGAAGAAGTTCGAGCAGCTTGAACAACTCGACGAACAAGGTGCACCCATTGAGCTCAAGTCCAGTGAAGGCAGCTTCAAAATCACGGGTGACAAGTGTGTAGCAATTTTTTTTCGCAAACTTGCGTAGGATATGTTTTGAATGTTTGCTGTAAATTTCGAACGGTTCATGCTTATAGGGGGAGTTTAATAGTGCATTACCGACAAAGGGTGCATGAGCAAGACGATGATAGCAGTGACATTGTTACGTTTGATGAATTGGGGGTCGAGCGTGAGGACGGTACGCGGTTCTCAGCCCTGGAGTCTTTCTTGCAGAATCAGGGCGTCGTCACGCACCAGAAATCGGAGTCGCTGGGCAAGAAGATGTTTGTCCCGGTGGTTGGTGGCCTCTTGATTGGTGGCGTAGCTTCATTCTTTGCTATTCGCATCCTGCGCAATCGACCATTTTACGTGCACAAGTTGGTGCTGGACCACGTGAACAACCACGAGACAGCGCGTACGCTGATCGGACACCCTATTAAGAGCGATCGCAGCAACTTTGTAGGGGTGCTGACGACTGAAGTTGCGAATTACACTATCCCGTGCTCTGGACCCAAGGGGAGTGGTACGCTCTTTGTCAAGGCTTTCAAAAAGGTCGACACGGACGAGAAACTTGAAAATGGGAAAGATAGAGTCATGGCCACTCCAGGCACGTCGTGGAAGTTCTCTACGCTTGTGTTATCTGTTGGTCGTAACGAAAAGCGCAAGGTGAAGAACGCCAAGACCGTTAATCTCCTGAACAATGGTAACTTGCCGCTCGAATGACATCAGCGGCTTCAGATGAGAAAATCTCGACTATTAAAGCATAAGTTTACATTACTTTTCTTTGACAGTCTGTGAACGTTGTACCTGATTGTGCAAAATGTAGCAATAAGCTTCGCTCAATGCTTGAAACGCTCACCTTAAGCTTCTTAGCACGTCTCATCATCTCGCATGTCATGATAGCCCCTCGTTCAGCTCTAATCTTGGGAAAAGACAAACGCATACGACCATTGCTTATAGTGCTCGAATATTGTAAGATGAGAGTATGCTGTGTGAAACGGCGTCCATACTGCTAGCAGCGCATAGGTCTATAGACTGGAAGCAGATGATTACCCGACTCAAAGTATCAAAAGCTGTGTGGGAACAGCCAAGCAGCAATCGCTTTCAGGAAATCTCAGTAGCTACTGATGGAAACGACGATGTCGCTTCCTTCAAATTAAACTTGCATTCAGTAATGGTATAACGGGTCGGAACCCTCGACATAAGGCTGTCAACGTCGTTTCTGGCGGTATAAACTCCCTAAACAACGCAATCAAATACGTCAACAACTAGTCGTGTTGCGTTCCTGTGTTCCTTATGTCCTCAAGTTCACGTGTGAATTGATATTGCACGTAGATCAAGGATCGCAATAATCACGCGCCTTTGCTCGATCTAATCTTTCAGGTGACATAGATGTGATCTGCAGGCGCTTATGCTTTGGCTGATGATGATGCAATACTAAGGAGCCTGTTTTAACGGATACGCTTGGGATAAATCGCATTTTGTCAGCTAAGTGAGGTTAACACTACTTGATCTCGTTCTTAGTGACTAGCAAAGGAGGTCAGGACTGAATTATTGCTGTTTAGACATACGTGGTGATTTCAGAAGGTTGTTGGTGGTGGAAGAAACGCTTGAGGCAAGTTCTTCAAACGTGATGGCACATTAACACTAGACGTTATTAGCACGAGCTCATTCAAGTTGAAGAACCTCGCTGAACGATGTATCCTTGCTGACAAATAGCCTGTGTGAACAGTGTGAAAACACGGCAGGAAGCTTCCTAAACTATGTTACGGTGGCAATGCCGCGTGCATCAGAATAAACATGAGCAAGGAAGCGTACAAAGGCACTCGAGTCGATCCAATCATCGCCTACTTGTGTTCTACGAATCAAATGCTACCGATCTCTTCAACGTTACTCCACCAAACATTAGCTAGAACAGCTTCTCGGCAACCATCTGAAGAGTGAGCGTCAGAAATACATGAAACAGAGTTTCAATGACAGTGTTATGAGTGCGCTGAGAACATCCCCCATCTGGTCAGGCCAACGTCGATCTACAAAAAGAAATTCAACTCCTGATCTCTAAAGAGACCGATGAGGTCGACCATAGGTGACAACTATCCGTAAGACCATCTCAATGAAGCTGCGCTTGCGCTACAAATGTTCGTTTTCTAGTATGCATTTTATGTGCACAACACGCAGAGGTGCGTGTTCGCTCTGTAAATGCGCAGTCTTGGCTGCCATCATCAGCACATGTTACTCATCCGCCAGCCTTCATTGTTGTTACCTTTGCCAGCTTTTTGTCGGCTTCCTTGCGACTTGCCACCCACCTTTCCCTCAACCAAGAAATTTCTGAAGCACGGTCCTTGACTTGGAGACATCTACAGATAATCAAGTTGATTTAGCTCTGTGTGTGTTGGCGGATACTTCGACACTAGGAACTATCGTCTACTCATGTGTGCGAAACCGTGTGACGTGTATTGTTGCGACATGAACTCCTGCATTCCTTTGGTCTCTTATGTAGCTGTCTGAGAGCATAAAAGGATCGGAATGAGTACGCGACTCCTGATATTGCTTCCTCACACGATATTAGGCAATTGTACGTTGTACGCACCCGATACTATTATCAGTAAAGTATGCATGTGTAGCATTAGGTTGGTGCTGATGCAGCGGCACTATAACGATTGAGAGCAATTGAAGAAACAGAAAAACAGCAAGAAGACAGGCCAGTAAACACCTCTTTTTTTCACTCCAGGTTTATTCCTCTTGACGTGCGACAGTTTACAGTTGGTAAAACTAGTCCAACGTAGCACTGAAGCCAGCCGAAGTGCAGACGTCCGCATTCCGTGGAATGATGTCGCGCGGCGTGAACTGCTGAGAGACGTGAACACCGACCAACTCTCTGCTCACCAGGTGCCAAATTTACCGATCGACAGTGTCAACTATAACAGATGATGCATTGTGGCAATAATTACCAGCACAGCAACCCTGACAGCAGCTATAGAGGATGGCTACCCACTTTGTATCGTAATTCTTTTGACAAAAATCGGTGTAAGCGTCGTGTTTTCCGTCCAGGCAATCGCATTGCCACGATTCTGTCCCTCTGGTGGAGGTCACGACGACCACGGCGATGGCGACGATGGTAGTGGCTCGGATGAACATCGTTGATGTTGTCGGGAACAGGTAAACAGGTGTGCTTGTAGTCTTCAGAGGTACTCGGCGAAATGAAGAATGACTGAGCTCGAAGCAGTGCTCGAGAATCAAGACCGTCGTTCTGCGGCAGGGGCCAGGCGACAGGATGAAGACGTCTCCAGGACCATAGGATGCACCATCCCATGTGCACATGAATGGCAAAGAGCAGCAGCTGCAGGTACAATGGACCGTGGATTGCGTCATCGGTTTCCTGTCATCCCGATGGTGTAGCTGTGTTTACACCAAGGCTGGCATCGTGAGGTTTTATTCATGGAGGGTTTCGCAGGTTTAGTTATCAAACCTCAACTTCCAGTTCGGGAACGTTTTGAGGTTTAATGAGGTGTTGTTGTACGAATGTCACCCAGGCCTCAATAAGTCCGTCACTTCTGGTGGCGAAAACCACAGATTGGCTTGGATATTTAATATTGGCGCCTTCGGCTGTCGGAAGCTAGTCCACATCACAACAAATCACCGTGCGGTCTCACAATGCGACTATGCATCCGATCGTTCCGATGTCGGCGATTCGGATGACGATCTTGAGTCACATGCACGTTTTTACGCGTATGTTAAAAATAAACAGCTGAGGTTTAGCGAGGTTTAATGAGGTCTCATTGGCTCAAACCTCGAGCCGAAATTCTCTGTAAAATACAATGAGGTTTAATCCAGCCCTGATTTACACCAATCGGGGAAGAGAGCTGACGCTGGGACACCGGAGTTTGTCAGACCTCCCCTGGTGCTGATGCCGGCAAAGCAAACAAGCATTACAGTCAGGTGGTTGTTCAAGTTAGTGCACCTCTCTGAACGGAATAATATTCTATTTGGAGACCGACATCATGTGAGTACATCGTAGAACGAGTGTGGAAGTCTTGGATACTGTATGAGGAGGCGATGACGGTATCTGACAGAAAACGAAGATCAAAGAAGCGTATAGAAGCACCTGACGCACGTGTACAAACAGCCAAGCGCAACAATTATGGTATGCTGACCTCAGTGCCGATATGGCGTAACTGTTGCTGTGACCGCCCCTCACGACAACCTGTTTACACATGTCCTTTCACCACCTTCGAATCTCCCATGCATGAAGATGCAACGCGTTACTTTTCTTGCTTTGCCTCCACGGCAACGACTATAGCAAGGTTCTGAATTAGAAAGCGCCTACTTAAGTAGAGATACAGTGCTCAGACAACTCTGTCGCTTTATTAGTGAATGCACTTCGCTTCTACCGCTACTAACTGTCTCAATTTTTCCGAGATGAGTAAACTATCCAACCTTACAACATGGTTCCTGTCTGAAAGCTAGCCAATATCTTTAAAAGTCACGCATGCGAGCTAAGCTCTCATTCGAGCACTATCCCGTACCGAAAGTTGTAGAAGCATGCAATGCAATGCCACAAACACAGATATTTTTCTCCTGAGCAAGTGCTGATCTCGAAGCTTACCGTGGTTCCTGGCTGACCGTCGCCGCATCATGCAGCGAGACCCCACACAAAATTCTCGCCGTTCGCCACATACGTCCATTCATCGTCTACGAGGAGCATCATGTAACCATGGAAGAGCTTGGATAAATTTCACACGTTTCCATTTTTGGTCCGTGCTGTCCTCGTTGTCTTTTACGGTGATAAAGCTCTGCCATACTACGATAGAGAGACTCGAACAGCAGCTACTTTGCACACACAAAATGACTACCGTCGAACGAACGTCTCCGAGCGTGGCAGTCAAAAGATAGTTCATTCTTTCTATCAACCCATGATGGATGGTTAAATCTAAGTTTTAACAATCGTGATGAAACGGCTCTTTTTTTTCTCACCCCCTCGTAGCGCTACTTCACCCATGGCTCACTCCATTCTTAACACCAACAACGGACACTCCACAGTCACTCTGGCATTTGCGCACGTCACAGAAAATCCCGATTCCTCTCCAAGATGCCGCGCATTGAGACTGAAGTCCGTCTCGACTTCAAAGACGTGCTTATTCGCCCCAAACGCTCGACACTCAAGAGCCGCGCCCAGGTGGACGTGCACCGCGAGTTCCAGTTCCGCAACTCGAAACGCACGTGGACAGGCGTCGTACGTGTAGCCATCTCGCTAAACTATCTCGATAATCAGTTGTGATAAAATCACGTCCATGTCCTGTCATAGTTCATATCAATTAATTGTTTACTGACGTGTGAATCGATTTCTGTATGTAATACAATGAATTAATTTCTGTAGCCAATTATTGCTGCCAATATGGATACAGTCGGGACTTTCGAGATGGCTGTAGCTCTGTCCGAGTTCAAGTTCATTACGTGCGTGCATAAGCACTACACGCCATCCGAGTGGGCAGCTTTTGCTCACCGATATCCAGCGGTGCTACCGACAGTCGCTGTTAGTGCTGGTTCCAGTGCAGTCGATTTCGACAAAATTTCGACCATCCTCCGGACCCATGCCGAAATCCGGTTCATCTGTCTAGACGTGGCCAATGGGTACTCGGAACACTTTGTCCAAGCGGTACGCAATGCGCGCGCGGCGTTTCCAGACCACACCATTATTGCTGGCAACGTCGTGACTGGAGAGATGGTCGAAGAGTTGCTACTGTCGGGAGCTGACATTATTAAAGTTGGCATCGGTCCTGGTTCAGTGTGTACGACCCGGAAACAAACGGGGGTGGGATACCCGCAGCTGTCTGCGGTGCTTGAGTGTGCTGATGCTGCTCATGGACTCAAGGGTCACGTGATTGCTGACGGAGGCTGTACGTGTCCAGGGGACGTGGCCAAAGCCTTTGGAGCTGGGGCTGATTTTGTCATGCTAGGTGGCATGCTTGCTGGGCACGAGGAGAGTGGAGGAGATAAAGTCGAGATGAATGGGAAGCTGTTCAAGACGTTCTATGGTATGAGCTCGTCCGAAGCCATGACGAAACACAATGGGGGCGTGGCTGAATACCGCTCGTCGGAAGGCAAGAGCGTGACCGTGCCGTATCGGGGTCCGGTTGCTGGGACTTGCAAAGAGATATTAGGTGGTGTACGCTCTACATGTACATACGTCGGGGCGAGCAAGCTGAAGGAGATCAGCAAGGTACGGAGTTAGTGTGTAGTCTGTTGAGGGTGGATCGAAGGTGTTGGTGGTACTGACGGGTTGTCCGATAACTGTGTTTTTTCTCCCGCCTTTTAGCGCACCACTTTCATCCGTGTTTCCCAGCAGCTGAACGAATTGTTCGGTCGGGCTCCTAACGAGCAAGAGGAGCAGGTGTCGAAGAAACAGAAGACGGGCTAGACGATGTTAAGCTCGAGTCGAAGTGTCGAATAAACGGCGGTCCAAGAGTCGATGAACCCTCCTAGATATCATGTTCAAGACCAATTACAATTACATGTAAGCAAAAGAAATCACATGTGCTTATCCTGCTTCACTTGGTCTTCGTGTCGGGTAACAATAGCCCGAACGTAATGTGCCGACTGCGTTGATCACATGATTTGATCTCACAGATTCGTCGGCAACATATATTCCCAGTTGAGCCGTTCACGTTTTACTCAATTGTCAACAACCCGACACGTTCAATAAGATGCAGGACTTTTCGGTGACATGTGAACGATGGAGTGGTCACGACGTAATCACCGCATACCTTTTGTGACAAGCAGGTACTTGCATGTAGTCAGTCCTACTGAGTGGAGATGCAAGTCGAGGGATACATTTATTGCGGGTCTGTAAAAGCTACGAAAGTGCAAGGGACAGGTACAATAAGTCTGGTCGGATTGAGGTTCCAGCTTCCAGCGCTTGACTGTTGAGGCTTAGCTGCAGTCTGTCGCAGGTCGTGCAGGACAATTTGTTGCTTGTTCCGTAACATGAACCGGATCAATGATTTTCGATAAGAGAATAGGCTTGATGGACAGCGGTCGTGCATTGTACCATTCGCCTGTCCTTTGTGTGAGATCCGTACGCAGGTTAGTAGTGTACGAAGAGTTTGCTTCCTTCGTAGCTAGGCCAGTTTTACCACATTTCACGTCCATGACGAGCGAATGATTTGGTTGCCACTCCTTTTGCTTAGCAGACCGAAAAAAGCCGTGACAGGAGGTTAATCATACGCATTTGAGATGACACGGGGAGCTCTTCAGTCACGCCTTTGGGATAATTTCTGCTGAGATTTGTGCTTGATGCTCGAAGTTCGCTATCTAGCAAGATCACGGTGATAGGTGGCATGCTTTTACGACGTCCAGCGTGTCCCCTTTGTACCGACAGTGGCTAGCCTTTTGAGTCATGGAGCGTCGCGTCACTCGGAGTGGGAACGCGAAAGTCATGGCTAGATTGCAGCCTCTTTACTCGCTACTTTACTTGTATTTACGTACATGCTATACGGATCTGGGATATAGCGAACGTTTACATTCCCGGTTCACAACCCGCTACCGAAATGCATATCAAGAACATGCATACCCTATCGTGCCTGACAAAAAAAACCTGCTAGTACAACGAAGAAAGTAGCTACAGCTCGGCAGATTCGAGGGTTCTAGCAAGTACACTCAATGATATCAGCTGGATAAGTATCGGGAACAGGTTTGTGGAAGTTTGTCTGCGCGAATCCTCCGACGAAGTTCATTTTCTTGTCATGTGACTGCAAACTCAAGCTCACAAAAGTACAAGACCGGTCTACGGACGGGACTCGTACTCCTAGCTAAATGCTGACTGTTGACTTTGTTTTTATGTTTCCTGGCTCCAAAATAGCTCACAAGAAAGGGGAAGTCCGTGGCTAACCGTTGCTGCAAATGGCTATCCCTGGAATAGGGAAAGCCGTGGAACAGAGCAAAGAGGAAAATGCAGTGAGCTTTTTTACGAGCGGCTCAGTTTATGGCCGTTGCCAAATCTGACACAAGATTGAATGTGATTACTGGATCAGTTGCTAATGTTTTGAATCATGATCAGGCATATGAGCGACCGACCGGTGTCAATTGACCGGCTAGTTCTGTTTTAATCTTGAGTGTTAAAAAGTGACTCCTACTTTCATGACCCCATTGCAAGTGACTGTGAACAATGTGGCCTTCATGCAAAGATTCAGTGAAATTAGATGTAGTTTCTGGTCCACATACCTAAACGTCAAGCTTCTCACTATTGAAGAAACACCTCACGCAACGAGGTGGTAATTATCATTTTTCATCCTGCAAGGATCGGCTTTGTCAAGTATCGTGTTGTAGCGACGATGACAATGAGGTTGAATGTGCACACTGCTGCCTCAATTGTGGCTGGCGCCGTCGCCGAATTATCCAGTAACTAATGAGGGAGAATTTACTCTTTTTATGATAGTCAGCGGCCACGATGACGAGAGCAGCACGATCATTAACGAGAATAGCGCAAGTGGTAAAGGGTAATTTTAAAATTAAACCTTTAACTAAAGGTTTTCAAAGAGCAAATGGTAGAAATAATCAAGGTAAAATAACTGTCAGATCTCGCGGTGGTGGTCATAAAAGATTATATAGACTAATTTCTTTTAATAGATCTAAAAATCTTGTAAAGTAATATGACTCAGATCAAGACGATCTCGGTCGCCCCGGTAGAGACTTCCACCGTCAATGTAAAACTACCTTCAGGCGTTTACCGGAACAAGTCGCTTCAATTGGTTTGATACAAATTCTAGACCGTTGATCAGGTTTTTACATTCGGGACGCAAACAATTCATAGATAGCGCTTGGTGTGCGTTGCTTTACCAGTAGTCGAGGCAAATCAGGAAAGCAGCGGCATGGTAAATTCTCGATCGTACCTCTCTATCGACACGAAATACCGTGCCTTTTGTGGCATCCTTTGAGGCTTTACGTACGTCACAACGTAAGTCTACTTCATGATAATGAGTAAAAAATTGCAGATGGCATTGAGATAAAGTACAGACAAACGACTTAAGCTGTTATGAAACGGACGCGATGATCTAAGACATGTGTGCGATTGACTATCAAAGCAAGGATGCTTGTTCTCCGATCTATGCTGCCTAGAGTTATGATGGCTATATCGACTATCCAAAGCGTACGTGATGTCGAAGCGGTTGGATCAATCTCAGACCGCGCACATGCAAAGAACTATATCACAAAGATGAGTGAGGCTTTGCGGCAGTGCCTTTTAGCTCGAAAGGGTTGCAAGGCAGATAATGTTTTTACATTGCTGCTTAATGAGAGTACGATAATTTAAGTCACAAACAACGGTCTTACTCAATTGGCCATCAACAATACTGTACAAGTTGCTGTCAGCACTGTTCTTGTTTCAAAAAGCAGATGCCGATGGCAAGTTGTGACCGCTGCTTGGGTTCATAAAACAACTGTCATTTGCAGTTAGTGGCATTCAAGATTTCACTTCACTCTTTATCCGACCATGAAAATGGAATCGAACTCTGAAGTTCAATGATCCAGTGTTGGAGAGCTAGACAAAATGTAACTGGACCTGCTTTAGCGACGACGTAGCGAGAGTATGTGTATGCACTTGGCAGCTTCTCGTTTGGCTGTCAAGTACCCACGGGGTTCACGCATACCAATAATGATGGCTACACTATTCCACCTCCCATAATGCTAAACGTGGACTTCCTTTCGAGACCAATTTCCGTTCAGCTGGAAGCAACGAGGCGTAAGGCTCGTCGTTCTGCATCGGATAGACGAGTATGCCGTTGAGGCATTTGACGAAAACGTTCATACGGCCTCAAAAGGTTGGTTTTCACAATTTTGCTGGATGAAGAAATGGTGTCAACAACATACACGACCGCTGAAAAAAGATGGTTTCCTCGAAACCAACGCCGTCTATTAAGCTTCATGCTAACCTTTACATGGCTCAGCGATGTAAAGCGAGCACATCATATTGCCAATCACCACATGGTCGTTCCATCACTAGTGAGATCACCGTCCCAGATTATATACATCTAACGATACTGCGCCATCTCGCCTTTATACTAGTAGCTTGGCAGATGCAGCAGGGTGCACACCCAGTACCTCATGTCAGTAGCTACCCATTCGTAAGTAGTACGACTAGTAGTCTGTGCTGCACATTTGTGCCGTATCCCCTTTTTGTAGTCTGTAGATTCACGTCATCACCCATAAGAGATAGTTTTTGAACGTCTGATTTCATCGTCGGCTTCCAGATTGTTGTTTGGAAACTCACGATGACGTTAACCCGACATTTACATGCGATTACTTGACGTGATGCCAAGAAATACTAAAATGACTTTTAGGTCAAACGCAAAATTGCGATTCGAGTGATTAGACCAAGAAAACCTGGACAATCGCGTCCATGATGGAGTACGGCGAGACGAACATCGAGTCCGAAGAGAAAGGTGGACGAGGTAGCAAAAGCCTTGAAATGACACTGTTGTACTATTCTGTATCAAATAAAGAGTTCACCAACCCGTCGTCCCGAATTGTAGCGCAGCGATTTACATAACTAGTGAAACAGATTCCGTGCACATAAATGCAAATGCGTGCACCTGGCACCTTTATCACGTAGCACGTAACTTCCAGCTTATCACTTTTGACACGTCCGGGCTGTCGCGACAAGGTTCTGTGTATTGCTGCATTTCCAATACTTAAACGAGAGTGCACCTCTTTCAATTCGTTGCAATATCGATTAGAAAACGTATAACCCGTGTGTGGCTAAGTACTGAACGCATGTTCGTCGAAGAAGAGTGTGTGTGGCCACAGCATTCTCCCAATATTTTGTGGAAGCACAGATGACTTTGCATTTAAGGTCTTGCGTCGCCAACATACTGAACGCGTGCTAGATAACGGGTACAACTGTAGCGAGTACTAAGTATAATGATGACACACCCGTCGAAATTTTCGGCGTGCGATTTTTCTTGCATATGATGCAAATCAATCAAATGCAAAGAATGGGACGCACTTGCACGTAGCCTTTCACTGTGCCGTTAGTTGACCGTCTGGCAGGACCTATTAGATAGAGAAAAGGGCGCAAATGGTCATAAAAAAAGGTAGCGCCAGAAATATGAATGAAAAAACGATGATATAGCGATGGACATTCCTTTCGGGACATCGTCGTAAGAATACAATGAATGACACTTTGTTGCTCCGCAACAGAACAAAGTGCATGGTCACGGAGAGGATGATGTTGCGTCCTTGCGGTGTGGGAGCGGAAAAGCGCCTTGCGCTTTACTTTGAGGCGGGCCATGATTGAGGTGATGCCATATCATTCTGCAACTATACGCAGATACTTCAGAAGCCAAAATGACCTTTAGCTCTCAGCTAGCGCTACACATTATCGCTGACGCATACTTTGACAATCTAGCACCTCATGCTTCGATT